TTCCAGACTAATGAGCAAGTTGTACTACTCATGGAAAAATCTGTTTAATTATTTACACGCGATGACTACGGCTGATAAAACTAATTTACAAATTTTAGTCCGAAGGCTCACTTGCATTTTTAATCCGGAAAATTAAAGTAGTGTGACTCACAAATTCGCTTTGACTGAGAGTTAGTAGTGTTTTTTTTTTTTCGTCATCCATTTATACCTTTGCTTACAACTAAAAAGCACAGCATTAAAAAAAGTATGGATTTATGGAGTCAGGTCCAACTGTTTTGATAAGTTGACAATATTTTTTTTTTTTTTTTTTTTGTAATATTATCACTCGTTGAAAAATATTTGCGTGAAGATAAGGTTACTGGGCGAGTTTTTTTTTTTTACAGAAAAGTAAAAATTCTAAATGGAATACGCAAATTAGATTATTTGGATTGACGATATGATATACCTAAGTATAATTTTTTTCCGATTACAATTTCGAAATGAGCTACAGAGATATTAGGTTTATTATTTCTATGAACAATACTTTTCGGAATTTTGACGCATCGAAAATTAATCACTTGTCACGACTCATATTCGGAAAATAATAATGATTAGGTTCTCTTTGGCTTGACAAATGAAGGCCTCTGAATTGTTTTCAATTAAAAAATTTGATTTTTCCTACAAAAGACACCCACCCAAAAAACCCCTAGTTCTCAATCGAGTCTACCTTTTTTTTTTATAAAACTTTTGTGCCATGTGTCACTGGCCAGCTCGAAAAAAGAAAGATAAGGAGATCTCGAGCTGGAATCGAATATTGACGGGCAAAGGGAAACTAGGACGAGCAGAGTGCAAAGTAAAAGGCATTAGAAGCTCGAAGGAGAATCTTGATTATTCGCGGTGGCGGAGGAGTGTAGGTGGGCAAAGAAAAGCCGGACGCAGCGAGGGGATCGAGAAAAAGGGAGCATCGGGTCGCGGTGAAAAATTGAATAACCACTACGGGGTCGACAAATTGCGTTCCCGTGGCACTTTTCGCTGAAGATCCTGTAATTAAGCGCACAATACACCTATACACCAGCAGGCAGTGGTGACCTGTTCGATTGCAGGTTTTTTACTCGAGGCTCGTCGTACATCGAACGGAGCTTTACAAACATTACGATTGTCATTGAACAAGTAGGTATGGGTAGAACTCCGACTCACTTGCGTGTACATTGATTTTCTCGCTGCGCATCTCTGAAATCACGTTATTGGTGAATAATATTAATTTTACACGCCTTGTCGAGAAAATGCTTCATCCTCGGAGAAAAACAAATCACGCGCTCATCACGGCGGAATAAGGGCTGATGAACTTTTCATGGCTCTAGTAGCGGATGTACACGTCCGGGAGAGCATAGAAAACACTGAGCAGCTCCTGTAACGAACCCTTACGCATCGCAATCTCGGATGAAAGCAGCAAAACCGATTTAATATCAAACAGCTGTAGCAGTAAAATGAAAAGAAATTGACGCGCCAGAGGGGGTTGGGGGAGCAACATCGTTCGAGCGCTCGATAGTGCCCCCATACCCTAGAGAGTACAAGTTGATGGGCGTGTTTACGCGTACACGTGTATAGAGTCTCTCTAAGAAAAAAAGTGTATATAAATATGGAGAAGAGGCGGAGACGGAGGCCGTGTAAGGAGGAAGCGCTACCCCATCCCTTCGTCAGTTCGCCTCTTGTATATGTACGCACCTAAGTATATCCAAGATAGCGTGTGTACACAAACACACGTAGAGTTTACGCGTGCACAAGAAGATGGGATCGCACGATGGAGGAGGAGGCGAACCACCACCAAATTCTATTTGCGCGTGGAGTGAGATGTTCCCCGCTCGTGCATTATTCATGACGGCTAAGAGTTCCGCGAGCGATCTCGCCAGTCATCCTCGACTTCTGTGCCTCTTTCCACGTTTATTTGCCAAATTTATTTTGTGTTTGCCGAAATCGAGGGGGTTTAGTCATTGAGGCACGTATAATTTTACTCTTGGAACAATTTGTCGATACTGAGTACTACTATTATTTCAGTTTTTAATCAATGCGCATCAATAGGTTTTCTACGTAGGGGATGATACAAAATGTCTTTCTTTCGGCCCGTCGAGAGACCCGCAGATTTTCAAACCTGCACAATGGGCCGAGACAAGTATTCACAGGAGAGAAGAAGAATGAAGGGAGGATTCACTCGGACGAGCTGCACAAGGAATAAAGAACGCGCTCGAGAGAGAAACCGGTGTTCATCCTTGCCGCGCACATGTACATAAGTGTACGTACGAGATGCGAGGATTTTTTACCCTGTCGACCTTACGCATCCCCGCCCGGTGGGTGAGAGGTTCGCTCTCCCGTGTCACGTGGGAGTATTTTTCGTAGACGCGAACAAAACCTGAAATCATCGAAAGGAATTCACTTATCGCCCGAACAGGATTTTTCAGCTCAACGCTTTCAAAGAGTTACCGATCATTCGAGTGCGAAGTGAACGAAAATCGGTAAGCATAGGAACATAAAATCGGGTCAACGCTATTACAGCTTCAGCTGTGGGGTCAAAACGCGAAGCTGCACGACCCCGAACTTGTATCGAGCAAATAAGTTAATCGATGGTAAGGTACAAAATATTGTCCGAGATAATGTTACAGTACGCCTGGTAGTTGTTTAACCGATACGTATATCTATACGAATGGTCGGTGGGAGGAACGGCTGTTGCTGTCGATTTAGGGCCTTCCGTTTTCCGGCGCAAGCTCGCTCCCCGAATTAATTTGAGCTTTTGTCCGGTCCGGTTTAAGCACCGATTCCTGCATGATATGGTGGATTCGGTCCGAGAATTATTGATCATCGGTATTTAGCTTCTCCGGAGTGGCTTTTTGGGGGCGATAGAGATACAGAAATCTAAAATGTTGCATAGACAGATTTTAAGTTGGCCAAGGCGCATATAAGCTACATCCGATCCCTCCGGGGCGAGGCTTCGATCTCCGGATAAGCTACGTCTCCCTCTCTCTGCGGTATTTCTATGCCAAAGATTCCGCAAGCTCTACTTTTTGCGCAGGAAGGAAGAATGCTTTATTTTCCTCCTAGGATACAGGAAAAACGTTTTTAATCTCTCGGTGATCGAGTTTCGGGGGGAGATTCGATTCGGACCGGGACAATGGACCTCAAATGGAATCGGTAAAAATTGCTCGCGATCGGTTGTACATTTTTGCTCCCGAGCGTCAATATTACAATGCATGAAAATCGTTTGGGTGTTTCTTATTTTCATGGTAATTTTTACGCCTCTGCTCTATATGTATATACGACGATCGCGAGCTAAACAGCACTTTAAATTCGTTTCGCAGTTCGTAGGGCACATGTATAGACCGCAGCGATTTCAATTGCCGAGGAGTTCGCGAAAGAAAATGGGAAAAGTAAAAGCATCGCGCAATGAATTAGCGAATGCAAATACAGGCGAATTTTGCAATTTACCAACACCAACTCGGGAAAGTCATTTCTCACAGTCACGAATTACGTTCTCAGTCGGGTATTTTCCCTGAAAATAGCTTTCTTCGGCTATTCGTGAACTTTCAGGGATTGTTCGTTTTTTTTTCTTGTGTACATGGGGGTAAGCATCGGATTTGTAATTTGTAATTTGCATAGTTGACACGAAACGAAAGCCCTCACTAATTGAGAAAAAAAAAAAAAAAGTTGCAGCCTCACGTTTTAATTTACCGTGTAAAAAAACACTAGTTAACGTATCTTCTCAAATACAGTCCACGACAGATGGATGATCGGTGATCCCTGAGAAAAGGCTGCAAGCTTTACCTGTAAAATCCACTCAAAGTCAAACTTGCGTGCTTCCCGACGAACGACTCCATCTCAACTTTAACGGACTCTCAAGTGGTATACTGGCAACTTTGACGGGCGCGCCACGAAGAGTCTCGTACTCGTATAATTTCTCTCGCACTCTCTTCCACCTGTCTTTGACGCGCTTGTCCGGAGAGTTGAAATTACATCCCATATCGGTAAGCTCGTCCCCCACAAAGGTGTAAAAAAAAAAAAAAAAAAAGAAAAAGAAAAGTATCGCGAGAGAAGTAGAAAGCAAAAGGTATTCGTATACGACAACAGGACGTCTCCCCCCCCATTGTTTGGTGTACACCAGGAGGAAATTAAATAAAGCTCGCACGAGAGGACGAAATGCAATAACAACGATGCCGATTGCTTTTGTGCTTTGCTTCGGGGTCGTTGCATTGAAAAACCGAGCCGCCGAAAAATTTCAGTCGTGCTCCCTGTGGTACGGACTCCAGCGAGATTGAGCGAGTCTTTTGTTCGCGGAGGACGCACAAGACCCGAGACGGACGAGGTATCCTCTCGCTAAAATATACATTTCACCAGGCAGAAGGGGGTTGGCGTTTTATCGACTGGCCCTGTTTGGCCGGCACTCGCCACCATTAATTATATCTACGAAAAGTTCACGATAATGCCGCTGTTTTGCCTCTGTTATTGTTGTTGAGGGGTAGTGATGGTATAGGTCGACTAGATGCCACTTTGAGTTTATCATGTACTTTGAATAATCCATACTCGTCTCGCATACCATTATCGTGTACTCGTATGGTGTCGCACACCCAAGATATTTGTCTATGTATCGAACGAACAAACACAGGTACATGCCAAAGTAAACTCGTTTAAAAGTCGCAAGTTTGAGCCATTTTCGAAACACAATAGAAAAGGGAAATATTGGCTGATGGGGGGTGTACGTAGTTCTGCGCGCGCGTAAGCGAAAGGGCATGCGCTGTATGCACCCCCGCCACTATATACCCCCCGATCATCAGTCTGTGCCAGAGTCCGCGTGCTGCGCGCAGCTTCTTACGGTATACTCCGCACTTTTGCCGTATACGTATATATATATATATAGGCGGGGGGTGCTAGCGAGAGGGGATATATCGCGAGAACGTTTAGTCGAATCCAGGACGTTGCCGGCTCGAGACGCGCGCGTCTAAGCTTTTCTCCGTTGCACACATGCGTGCACTTGTAAGGTGATCCCCTTTTTATTTTTGCGTTTTTTCGTTTGTTCGCAGCTGCGGTTAGGTACGCGAGTGCGGCTGCGGTTCTTGAGTGCGGTCGAGGTGTCATTGTATTTTTACTTACGGGCACCGCGGATTTTTAATCACCGACCGACCACCGGAACTCGGCTTATCGGCTGTTTAGCACGTGGAATGAGTAAGACACTGTTTAAAAAAAACTTTTTTTTTTCTCATCATTCGCCTGGGCTGGAATATTTTACACAGAATCGAGATTATTTTTTTTTTTTTTTGTCAAGTTGCGAATGTCACGGGTCCGTTTGGTCGGTTATCCGCACATAGCTGGTGCTCCTTACGTAACTCACGTGTACGAATATAGACATTTATATTTCACCTCCGTTGTTGGACGACCCGACAAAAATCCAAATGGCCCCGTGCCCGATGTGTATAAATTAACGGTTTATAGCACGCCATCGCCGCGTAGAGGTTGGTCAATCCGTGAGGGTACACCACGAACACAATGGGGGGACGACAAAGAGCCGGATACATCTGAGACGGGCCTAAATTTACGGTTCGGGGATATGGCAATTAGGCAGCGCCTGTACGAGCCCCTCTCCCGTGTATCATGTAATTGGGTGGATGGAGCTTTTCTCTTGGTTGGTTCACGAGTGCCGGAAGCGCCGGTGACGATCGTAGTCGCATGCGATCGCCGATAAACCTGTTTGTCCGTGGCATCCGCGCCGGGTCAAGTGACGGTGGTTGTCTAGATTTTCAACTGGGTTCTTGGAAAAAAAAAAAAAAATTAAGTACATTACTCGAGAGCATCCGAAGGTGCACACGAGTCGATATAGAGACGGTGCAGGATTGTGGGGAGATTTTTTCAGTTTTCTCGTATTGTTTTTTACTGTAAGCTTCGATTGACTCGAAATTTCAAATACATCATATGGAAATAGTACACTGAGCGACCCAATTCTATCAACCAGTAAACATTTCTTTATCCTCGTTTTGTTGTGTACTTTATTTTGATTTGAAAAAAGTTTGGTCGATCGAAAAAAATATTTTATAAAATTTATTGAACAATTAAATGAAGCATTTACGCCAATCAACTTTTATTTAAAAGAAAATATTTACCAGAGAGAGAGAGAGCATAGGAATTTATTTTCATTCAAGCGGTAGATTGCTCAGTGACAGTAAACCTTGGTAAATCCTTTTTAGATCTCGATATTGTATTCAAACTGATCATGAGTTTATCATTTTATATAAAAAAAAGGTATCCATAGTATTTCATCAGATAAAAGAATTACTAAATTTCAACACTTATAACGTCACTTAATTCTAGAATCACTTGCTTTATCGTTTCCTTCTCACACAGAAGTGCACGTCAAGTACCTCGAGATTCTACACTACTTTCATATAGCTGCCGGCACTCAGCTCTAGCGACTGAACCATTGTTGGGCTGATCACATGGTCAATGTACCAGTTCTAGCATACCTATTATAAATCGATCTCATTATGCGGTACAAGTGAAGAAGAAACTCCTTTTCGTCCTTTTTATACGCAAAGTGCGACCAAACGAACATTAAAAGTGAGTATGGAAGAAACGAGTGAAAAGGCCAGGCAAAATCATACGAACCTCAAAGAGGACCAAATTGCGGATGAATGAAAAAATAAAGGTTACTTATACTTTGTCTTCTGATGATTTCCAACTACGTTGGCTTTTAAAAAGGGGATTCCCGATGATGAATAATTTCTAGCCCCAGCCAGAGACGTAGCGCACAGAGGATGAAAAATCAAAAGGACATCGGGCTGTTGGCACTGATAGCTGTTACCTCGTGCCTCGTGGGGACGTGCGCCGGTGGCAGCTGCAGGGCCGCGAAGCTGTGCTGTCAGGGCCGGGACTCGGGCTGCGTCATCCAGAAAGCCTCGCCGAACGCGATAATCGAGGGCCCCCGTGACAAGCCCTGCTACTGCGATCACGCCTGCCTCAGGCTCGGCGATTGCTGCGACGACTTCAACGAGACCTGCACAGGTAAAATGCTGCTCTGCCATGGCTGATCGATTTTCTTTTTTTTTTTTTTTTTACAAATACACGCCCGTTTCGAAAAATAACGTGCGTACGCGTGCGTTAATTAAAACTGCTGACGAAAACAAACGCGCCCAACACGGTGTTGAAAATACAAACAACAAAAGTTTCGTCGCGGTAATTGGACGATCGCTCGACAAGGAAAAATGAAAAAGCCGCGCGTCTACGAAAGGCTTGGGGGAGAGAGCACGTGACGGTAAACGCGAGGGGGCTAATAAAAGACTTTACTCCCGAGGGTTGGCCTCGAAAAATGGCCCCGCGGCTAATTTGCGGAAAAAATATCTCACCCATGAAAACAAAAAAAAAAAGAAAATGCTCACCCCGCCAGTTTATCACCAAAGTGCATTTATATACAGTGTGCAGTTTCACCCCCTCTCTTTTTTTTTTCGCGCAGCTCTTACCCCTTGAATCGTGAAAAATGCGCGAATGACCGCGCTCCTCGTGTAATGGCTTAAGTAAGTAGTGCCCGTCGGCACCGGAGATTTCCGGGGATTTATTTGCACCGCACGCCCCTCGTCGAGTCAAAGGCTATCTATCCTACATCACGTGTGAGGCTGCTTCCTTTTGCAAACCATTTTTTTTTTTCGTCAGAGTAAAAATAATAAGTTTTATCAGCCGATGGGTAGCTTACGTCAATCAGTTATTTCGAGCGTAATTACCACACTTTTTGACAAATCGAATACTTGAGTATTACTCATCATGTACCAACCTGCTATTGGGCAAAGTTTTAATTTTCGACCTAAAACGCGAATTTTCGGACTTTCTTCCGGCAACTATGGCATATGGTATGGCAAAGTATACGCCATTAAAAAACTGCAGCCGTTTGAAGTCTAATGGCTTTTTGAATATTGCATGGTACGTTGAAGCTACCTACGTTATCATTACCGCTCGTTCGCTCGAAAGTTACGAGAGCTGCGGATAACTTGGTAGTACACCGAGTTCTCTCTCATTCGCAAGCGATGAACCCCTTGTGCAAAATTGATCATCCGCAATCACCTTTTAGCGAATCCTCCTAGTTTTCAAAGACAAATATTCTCGAACCAGAGTTAAAACGAGGGAAGGTTTTTTTTTTTTTTTTTTTTTTTTATCAACTCTCGTGAAAATACACAAAGTTGAAACAAAAACCTCTTTTACGGAGTATCCTTCTTCCGAAGCTCTCGTATCGTCATTATGAACGATAATTGTTCAGGCAATTGTTCTTTTTTTTTTGCTTTCCATTTGCTCACGTACGCGCGTAAACTACCCCTACGAGGGCCACGCGCAGCCGAGCTCTTGTATTTCGAGCGAAAACCGATCGACCGAAAGTATATACATTACCGCTCGAACAATGGATGTCGCGATAAGGGGAAGGAAAAAAAAGATCCTCTCGTCCTCTCGTGACGCAAGTACGCAATCAAAGCGATGGTAACGCCTCCGGCCGCCTCAATGGATTCGGATAGACCCCCGGCACTTAGCTATACGGGAAGCCAACGTACTTCGGTGATGGAAAAAAAAAAGAATTGTTTCTTCGCAACCAAAAGAAAACAGGTATACGACGACTCTTCGGCTAAATTTTTCTCTCGAAGCAGCTCCACACGCGAAACTTTATCGTCTGTAAATTAGAGTTCGCTCCGCGCCACGCGCGTTTTATTGTACGTGTACGAGTGCAACTGCAGAACCCCGAGTCTTATGCACCCTATATATATATATACCACTCTTCTACCGCACGTATGCGCTCGGCTCGAGTATGTATATGTATACGCGTCTTTGAGGCAATTAACGATCCGGCCGTAGTGGTGGGGCTCCCGCGCGCGTGCTCTCGCAAAATTAATGACACTGGGAGGCGCTTGTCATCGGAGTATAGGTTTGGGACCTCGTCGGCTTCAACTGCACGGCTCTACCTCTGTGATTCCGGGTGGCCACTTGGGAGTATATTATAGGTACCGATGAATCTATGACTGGATCGACGTACTATTGTAAAAAAAAAAAAAAAAAAAAAAAAGTTTCGCACCTTTTCTACCGTTGAATGAAATCATTGACGCGGCGTACAGAGTAATAAATCATCCGAAGCTGCGAGAGCTTCGGGACCAAAGTTCCAACTCCTCCGAGCTTTGAAATGCACGCCTTTTGAAAACTGCACGAGTTTATGTCAAACAGAGTAAGTGCGCGCACCCACTCGCTCAAAAGACTTTCGCAGCCAAAGACGATGGGGTGGGCGTGGGGGAAAAACTAGCATCGAGTTTCCAAGCCCCATAGCCGAATGACTTGTCGAGTACGTATAATTAACGAAGCCACGGGGAAAAAGCTCCTTTTGGCTCAAAGACGCAGACGTCGTCGATTTGTAGAGCTGGGCAACGACTCTAGTGTTACTAATTTCCTTGGAGCACGCGTTACTTTTCTAAAACCATTTAAACGCGCTGTCGATCGCAAGCACCGGACAGGGACGCATCGCGTGACGATCAATCACGCGATTTTTTTTTTTTCCCCTCCCTCTGCCACGCGTATGCATTTTACCCCTCGCGCTCGACCGCGTTAACTGATTGCGTTGTCTTGTTTCGTTTTCGTTGCTCGTGCGTGCAGTGTCGGACTGCAGCGTCAGCGGCTGGAGCGAGTGGTCCGAGTGCGACAACAAGTGCGGCCAGGGCCGGCGGACGCGGAGCCGGCTCGTCTCGAGTCCGGGGCGTAATGGTGGCCAGCCGTGCCCCGAGACCCACCAGAGCAACGAGTGCGAGAGTTACGAAGCCTGTCGGCGACGGGCGCGGCACTTTCGAGTTGAAGGTGAGCCACCCCTGCTCCTTCATTTATTTATTGATTTTTTTTTTTTTTTTTTTTACAAACAAAAATAATAATTTTTGCCAACGAGCCACGTCTGATACAGTGTACTGCAATTTTTCCAGAGACCAGGTTCCTGCCGAGCAGAAACACCGGAGCGGCTAGTTTGGAGCCCAACTCGGTTACCAGGGGGTAAGTTCACTTTCTCTCCCTTTCGACTCTACGTAACTCCATCCGTATCCCTATCCCTCCTTTTTTTCACCTGCACCTTAAATGAATCAAATTGGTACCGCAGTTGTGAGCTATTTTCACCGGAGCTGCTGTTGCTCTTTCTCATCCTCCTTTTTTACGAAAAAATCATCAAATATTTACAAATCAGCAATGCAGCCCCTCCCCCCAACTTCAGCTAAGCCTCCACATGTTTACATCCCTCGACACAGCGCTGCAGCTGTACCGGTTGTTTGCCGTAGCAAGCGCTTGCGCATTTCGGCGAAAAAACATGCACATCCTGCCGTCGTTCGGTACTCCCGTTTTTCCAGATTTCATGTACAGGGTTGTTTTTTTTTTCCCCCCTTGTGTATACGCGCATATTTTTAATACCCGAGTGAAACATCATTTAAATACAATCCCCTCTGTTGTTTGCATAGGAGCTTTTGTTGCTTCGAAACCTTTTCAGTTCTTATATGTACAATACAATATACCTATACTCTCTAAATTCGAAGTGGTGAAAATTTGCATTATTTTCTCGGTGAGCAAGGCTTTGGATAGCGCTGGAGTCACTACAATTTCGTATTAAAAATATTTTTATCAGTAATCCTGTAAGAGATCGTAAATAATTGGACAGACTGTAATTATTATTTTTGGACGCTACCAACGATTACTATTTCAACTAATTAAATGAATGAAACTTTTACTACAGTAGTAAGTATTGATTACTTTGTAGTGAAGTTTACATATTTCTACAAGTTATAAGTACATACAACCAACAAATGGTGCAATCGACTGCGACACCACTTGGAAGAGCGAAATTTCACCACAAAAAAAAAAGTCAATAATCACTATTTGGAAAATGTAGATATATATTTTATGCTGTAATATGTTGTATTCTTATAAAAATTGAAAATTTAAACAGTACACAGCTTATTAATCAGCTCATTGCCTTAAAAAACGTCAAAATGCATTGCGTCTGACCAAACTCGTGCACATACTACTTACACGCGTACCGCGGCGTTTGGACATTCCTTTATACGGTTTTCTCCACTCACACACACACACACACACACACACACACACACACACACACACACACACACATATATATATATATATATATATATATATATATACGCCAATAAATAGAGAATTGCTCGGAGTTGAAGGTACAATCCCAACCAATTGTCCCGAGAGTCCGCTGACGAGCTTGCGGTCGCGGGAATACCCTCAACCTCGCTAGCGCGTATACGTATGTACGGTAGGCCAATACGAAACAGCTGCGTCGAAAACACTCGTTGTCCCCTGTATATTTGTGCGAAAGTTTCAATTAATGGCACTCCGGGAAGCTTTGAATTCTCATAGATCGGAGTATTTCGAAAGACCATGCAGTCGTAGATGCTGTACGAGTGGTTTTGGGAAACGGTAAAACACGTGCGCATCTTTTTGGCTATACAAATATAGTCAAATTGCCCAGTGGAAAAAAGAAAATTGCCACAAAATGCTCGTACTGTTGACCAGAGCGCTCCTACAAACCGCACCTCGTGTACAGCTGCTCGTGGAGTGCTTCTTACACCTTTGGCCCCGTAAATGAGCAATTTCGAGCAAACAACGGAGCCAAACGCGTGCCAGGTATACGGGCAACGCGAACTTAAATATCCTTTCCAACGCGTGTGCCCAAAATATACCAAGTTCCACCACCCGAGCTCGGGATCCCTCCGAACCCTCCGCAGTATAGTCGCGCGTTGGACCGCACACTCCATAAACTTTCCGCGCCAGTCTCCGCATTTTCGGCTCTCTGGAACTTGGTGGTGCGTGAGTACACCTGCAGCGAGAAAGCACGGTTCAACGGAGGCGTACGGGTCATTCAAATGGTCGCACGTATGATTACACTGTGCTCGGGAGGGCATCCGAAAAAACGACAGACTCCACCACACGAATATGTCGGCGGGTGTTTGTTCGCGCGGAAGGAGTCGCGGTAAAGGGCCGCGATGGGCGCGACAGGAAGGGCGCGAGCGAGCTCAGCGTTGCGGATGGCTATAATGGCGCGCGTGGAAAAATAAGGTTGGATACAATTTCGCGTTTCATCGAGTTCTTTGCCCGTGTATCTACGCAGGGGTGAGGAGGAAAAACCGCGCCGAGTCTCCGTAAACGCGGACGGCGGAGGAAGATAGAGAGAAGGGGGACCGGCTCTTTTTTTTTTTTTTTTTTTTTTCGCCTCCATGGAGCTCCCCCTCTCTCCGTTTTACCTCGCGGCGCAATCGTCCGAAAAAAGCCTTTTCCGGCTGCGGGCAAACTTTATGCGCCGGTCGGTACCACTGAAACTCAACCCATGATGCAGGCACGTATAATTTACGAGCCNAACGAGGGAAGGTTTTTTTTTTTTTTTTTTTTTTTATCGCCTCCATGGAGCTCCCCCTCCTCTCCGTTTTACCTCGCGGCGCAATCGTCCGAAAAAAGCCTTTTCCGGCTGCGGGCAAACTTTATGCGCCGGTCGGTACCACTGAAACTCAACCCATGATGCAGGCACGTATAATTTACGAGCCCCCTCTCTTTCTTTCCCACGCGACGGCAAACGATCAAATGGCCCAATCCAATTCTACGGGGGGGTGTCCAACGTATTTTTACTCTTCCGATTGTTTTTCGAGATGTTTGGCCCCTCCACCCAAGGTGTTGAGTTTCCAAACATTTATTTCATAACCGTATATGATAATTGAGCTCAAACGATATCAGCACCCGAAAATTCACAGCGAGCGCTTGTATATACGTTTCAATTGGGAGGAAACATCGTAGCCGTGCAGCTCAACATCTAAGTATACACCTACTCCGAGTTTGAAAGCGCGCGCTGGCGACTGGCGTTTATTTGACGCGAGACTGCAATATTCGTGTACAATGGGATATGCATATATTACCCGAGAGTCAATGCGGGGGAGGGAAAAATGTGTGAGTCGCCGGGGAGGAATGACAAAGAAGAAGCTCTACTTTGCACGAGAGTGAAATCAGCGCATTGTGTAGGCGGGAGCCGTGCCGAGTTGGTACATTGCATAATTATTCGATCCCGATGGCGTATATATATGTATAAGCTTGGGGGAGAGAGGGGGTGGGAATTGTAAACGGCCGGAGGACAAGCTCGACCGCCCTGGGGATTTGGAATTGATCGACGCATGCCTAATTAGCTCCGTGTATACAGCTTTGAGGAAGGAGGCATCTCTTGGGTGCGACCCACGCCAACTGCGGCATTACGAATGATTTACGATGTATGGTTGCTCTTTTTCGTACTTTTAAGGGCTATGGAGATTATGTGGTCGAGTTACTTCGCGATGTGTTTTTTTTTACGCTGTTAATCTTGTGGACCCAACAAATTGTCAAAGGGGATGAAAAAGCTCGACTGTTGGCAATGCACTTTTTACGATTACTTGCCGTCTCGCGATTTTTTGGTCGATCGGTTCGAGGCAGTTTATACGGGATTCATTCGTTTGAGCTTGGAAGCCCCCATTTATCGGAAAACCCGCGCGTAAAGTGACACCCAACGGGGCTTGAAATTTGAGCTCAAAAGGATTCACCCCCCCCCCGTACAACGGACGCGACTGAAAAAAACCAAATATCCCGAATTTTCGCCCCTTCCGCAAGCTCAGCCCGATCGATACGTACAATCAAAGGGATATTAAACTTATCGTTTCTTCTTCCTTGCAGATACTGCGTCGCCTTCACAATATTGAAAATCTCGAGGGACTGCCGCAGAAGACTCGAGTCCTTCCACGAAGGTGAGTCCACCAGCCGCCCGAGATTCCTTTTGAGTTCCCGACTCCCTCCATTTAATTTGAGCACGGAATTGTCCCGAGACCCTCTGGAGTTTCCCACTCTCATCCCCTTTCATCTTTGCCGACCCCTGCACTTGACAGCCATACACAGAGTAGAATAAAGGATCAAACGACCCTGCCAAAGATATATTATTATTATTTTACATCTCGATCGAGCCCGAAAATTTATAGATAGATTAGGACACACCTGTTTCTTTGGATGCAAGCAACAAAGGTAACACTAGTGAGTATAGGTGCGGTACATGAAACCGAACGAGAGAAAACGGGAGTCGAGTAGTGAGTAAATACGGAAGCCAATTCATTTCCATCGCGTTGAGATCACCATGGTGTGCCGAAACGAGGGAAGACAGAGGGATCCATATAATATATACGCGGTTATCATTTGTAAAAGCCTTCAGTTCCTGCGTAGTTTGGCAACGCACACATTATGCGCGCCTATATGGAGAAGCGAGAGACGCTCGCGAGGTACTTCTCCGCGTGTAGCCTTCAACCTTTGCGAGCTGCACTTAGACATAATATCGACTCGGGAATTCGCTCCGTCTACAGTCGGTGACTTCCGCTCCGTGGCGGAGGAAATTACTTCCTCGAGGGGCGGGGGGGTGACACTGGGGGTGTCCCTCACTATGGAGCATTCGCGTACTTTATATTGCTACACGACGCAACGTCAACTCTTCCTCTGGTGAAACACAAATTATTGACGACACGATTATCTTCACTTTCATTGTGTTATTTTATCGGGGGTGAAACTAAACTATTGTCCCTGTTGGTTGGCAATCGGGTGCTCTATCAAGAAAGACAGAGTAAAAGTAAATTGTCTTACATATAATTAGGAAGCAGGTATGCTTATAGGCAAAAAAAAAAAAAAAAAAAAAAAAAAAAAAAAAAAAAAAAAAAAAAAAAAAAAANAAAAAAAAAAAAACTCGTAAATGTTTTCGATTGCTTGTCAAGAAAGCGTTTTGTGTATAAATTGATTACCCCACAGTTACCATTATTATTGACTTGTTATTTTCAATGTGTATAAAGTGAAATAGAATAGTATCATTCGATTGCAGGCTCGCGAGTGTGCGTGTGGTGCAAGGATGAGGCAACTGGCTCGTCGTGCCACTTGTACGGCCGGAGCTCGAGTTTCGGGGGTATCGGCAGGTGGGAGATGACCAACTCGTCGACCGGCCGGTCCTGCCGTGGCAAGTGGATGGCCGACCTGTACGCACCGGCCAGGAACGACTGCAGCTCTCTCGTCTGCGGTGGAGGGCCCGTGCTCACCTTCCTTTAATATAAAAGACCCGCGTACCTCGAGACGCTCTCACACCAACCGTGGGATATAAAGAGAGAGTGAGAGAGACTAAAGTGCCATTGTCCAAGTGCTGCTGGTGTTTGATCGATTTCGCGGGCTTCGTCTTTCCTCTTCCCCCTTTTTGTGTGTAAGATCGGAAAGCATAAAAGACGAACTTAAATATATACAATATATTTCAGGTATGCAATATCGATGTATTGTCTCGTGGCGAGATTTATTGTAAGAAACAGATGATATTTGTCAATAATAAATATGGTCCAAGCATTTTACATTTACCCGCGAACTTGTTTATTTTCACTTTCACGATGAGCTCAACCAACAAATGCATTATAGTGTACAGGATGACCTTTATCCAAGTCAAGATCGATAATTGCAATCAAGCCGTCCCTTCTGTTTCCCCTTCCTTCCTTTTTCTCCTTCTCCTCCCGCAGTTTTTCGTACCTCTCAGCAAACGCCTGATGATCCTTATCGCCCCTGTTCCATTTCCCCGATGAGTTTTTTTTTTTTTCTCCATTGTCTCGAAGAAGGACCTCCTCTCCCGTAGCATCCATGACATCGAACAATGCCAAGCCCGGAGGAGCTCTATACTTTTATGCCTTCATCGTAAGGACATCGTCGAGGGGATGTCTCCCAGCGCTGATGAGCAGGATTTTCGCTCTCCGATGGATTGCCGTTGCACCATGTTTTTTCGCTTAAGATTTCTGGCAGCTAATAAAAATGAACTTTTTTATTTATTTTGCATCCATTTAACACAACTCTGGGGTTAATCGGAGAATTTACAGCAAAGGGGTGAAAAAAGTCAAGAGCATGACTTTTTTTTCTTTTGTTCGTGCATGCATGGGACGTTTGTCTCTCCTCGGAAAGACTAATGATACGCTAATTCACGGGGCGTCGAGTACCTAATCCCTGCGCAAACAGTACAAGCCCAGCCCGATGGAAGGAGGGGGGGGGGGAAGAAAATTTATCGCACGTTCGTCCTTGTTATCTCTGGGAAACGAGGTGTTGGGCATAAACAAGAGCATCGAATGAGTCGCGTGAATGAAAGTGCATACTACTGGAAAAAAGAAAACAACAGGAAGGTGTGGTCGTGCTCGGAGCGGAATAATTGTTGCGATGCACAAATTATCAAGTGCATGTGTCATCTGGATTCCGAAAACCACAAAAGTTGCACAAAAACGTTGCATATAAGAGCTTGCACGAGCGAAGGTTAGTCGTTGTTCGTTTCGTCGATCGGTGCCTCGACGTTGCACTGCCGTTGCTTCGAATGTAATCGAAGCTGCAAGTACTTACACGTTGTATACGGTGGAAAACAACAGGTAAAGAGATACGTTCGGAAAAATGGAGAGGAATCTTTTATACATGTTTGACCGGCCCTACGAGCCTGTGTACGTGCCAAAGGGAGAAAAAAAAGTCACTTTCGACATTCCATCCAACTATTTGGTAATACAATCGATTGACTTTCATTTTTCAACCAACTAACAATTTTTGTAACATCTTGATCTTATTATTTTTTGTTTTTAACAATAATCAATCAACTTGGCTTTTTTTTGAAAAATTAGTTTGAGGCATGAAAGGGACAAACATTCGTGCCTCTGTGCGTGTGCAAGGTGTGCTCACAATTGATTCGGACTAAAAAATAAAACTATTAAAACATTAGACTGAGTCATTTTGGTTATATTTTATCTGATGATTATTTTTCATTTCATTCGATTATTTTCAACGTAGCCCGACAGGTACCAGCCAGTAGCGCAGAGAATCTTAAACCGCTTCGGCGAGGAGTCACTCTCCTCGGTCCCGATAAAGCAGATAACCATCCCCGATCTGAGCGTGCCCCTCGAGCTGAGTCGGCGCGACACTTTTTCGCTCTTCATCCCTTCGCATCGAAAAATGTCCAGCCGGCTGACGGAACTCTTCATGGGTGCGTACCATCATACTTAGGAATATAAAAAAAATCACCCACTCATTGTCCACCGCGTCCCGTCAACCAAAGGAATGCGCACCGTCGAGGACTTGATGTCACTGGCGGCCTACACTCGCGACCGCGTCAACGCCCAGATGTTCGTCTACTCGCTGTCCGTGGCCATCCTCCATCGGCCCGACACCAGGAACCTGATGATACCTACGCTCAGCGAAATCTTCCCCGACAAGTACATCGACGGCTCCGTCTTCCATCGAGCCAAGGAGGAAGCCAACGTCATACCGGCCGGTCAACGCGTACGTTCATCCGATTTTTCTCATTGGAACGGTCTGTTTTCCACAACAGTTTACCGAGTAAACGGGTTGGAAGAACAGAGGATCCAAAGCTTCGTAATTCCCTAAAGTTTCAAAACGCGGCCTATACCACCCATTGCACCTTTTAGAACGCCATCGAGATCCCCTTGGATTTCACAGCGACGGACGTAGATCCCGAGCACCGAGTCGCCTACTGGCGCGAGGATGTGGGCATCAACCTCCACCATTGGCATTGGCACCTCGTTTATCCGTACGAGGGTCCCCGCGTCGTCGTCGACAAGGACAGGCGCGGCGAGCTCTTCTACTACATGCACCGGCAAATCATGTCCAGGTGACGAAACCCTCGTATACATGCTCGTTTCACTCTCTAAATGAGGAAGGGGGTAAAAACCAATGAATTGCGCGCAGGTACAACATCGAGCGGCTGTGCAACAATCTGCCACGAGCGCGTCGCATGACGAACCTCCGGGAGCCCATACCCGAGGCGTACTTCCCGAAGCTGGACCAGATGGTGGCCGGGCGGGCTTGGCCGGCGAGACCGGCCGGCTTCGTCCTCGCCGACGTCAATCGCAAAGTCGACCGGCTGAGGTTTGACTTGTCGGACCTCGAGCGCTACAGGGACCGTATAATGGAGGCCATACACACGAAAACGGCTCGCAAAGCCGATGGTGGTGTTATACAGTTGGACGAGGTCACGGGCATCGATGTCCTCGGCAACATCATCGAGGCCAGTCCGGTCCTCAGCCCCGACCCCGTGTACTACGGTGACATGCACAACCTGGGCCACATGGCCCTCTCGCTGTGCCACGATCCGGACAACCGGTTTTTGGTAAGTGTATATGATTCGTTCGAGTATAGGTGAGGATTTTTTCGACCCTTTGTGCCACAGGAGTCGTTCGGGGTGATGGGGGACGCGACGACGGCAATGCGGGACCCCGTGTTCTATCGTTGGCACGCCTTCATCGACGGGCTGTTCGGCGAGTTCAAGGACAGTTTGCCGCCCTACACTGCCCAGCAGCTGGTTTTTCCCGGTATATCGGTGACGAACGTGCGGATCAGTACGCCGGGAATCAACCCCAACACCCTCAACACCCATTGGGTCAAGAGCGACGTCGATCTCTCCCGGGGACTGGACTTTACCCCGCGGGGCTCGATAATGGCTCGGCTGCAGCATCTTAACCACGAGGATTTCCAGTACAACATCGTCGTCAACAACACGAACAACAGGGAGCTGGTCGGGACGGTGCGCGTCTTCCTCGCCCCCAAGTTCGACGAGGCGGGCAGTCACTTTAGCTACAACGACCAGAGGATCTTGATGATTGAGATGGACAAGTTCATCGCTAAGCGTGCGTTTTTTTTTTTTTTTTTCATTGGTCATGTATAGTTGGTCGATTCGTTTCAGAAAATGAATTTTTTTTTTTTTTTTTTTTTTTTTTTATTGCTTGTTGCAGTGAAAAAGGGGCAAAATACGATAGTGAGAAATTCGGTCGATTCGGCGATAACGATTCCATTCGAAGCGACGTTCCGTAATCTGGAAGAAAACCGGCCGAGTCCGTCGAACTTGCAGGCTTTCGATCAGTTCAACTTTTGCAGCTGTGGCTGGCCCCAGCACATGCTCGTGCCGAAGGGCACCAAGCAGGGGTTCCCCATCGATCTGTTCGTCATGATAACCGATTACGAATTTGACAGGGTACATTTCTTTCCTTATTTTTCTCCTACGATTTCAAAGATCTGCAGTATATTTGGTGGGGACTTAATTCCAACAGGTGAATCAGCCCGACCCGGCTGGCTGCCGCGATGGTGTCAGCTACTGCGGCCTGAGGGACCTCAAGTATCCCGATGTTCGTCCGATGGGCTTCCCGTTCGATCGGATAGGACGGCCGGGCGTTTCGATGCTGGCCGATCTTTTGACTCCCAATATGCAAGTGCAACAAATTACCGTCAGATTTTCCGAAGATATCAGGCCCAGGAGAACTACTTTCCGTCAGTGAATCGAGATCGTTGGCTATTCATCATCGCGAAGACGCAGTAGAATAAGCTTACATATGTTATCAAAATAAAATACAACCAGCAAAGTCTCGTAATATCGATATTTCTTTATTCACACGCCTCGAGAAGGATAATTCTTCTCCCCGATTACATAACCAATCTCGTAAGTTTAATATGTACTATGGAGTTGCACGTGATTGTACCATCTGGTTTAATAAATTTTAATATGCTATACAATACCGTTTATTTAATCAATTATCCCCCTTCAACTTATCGCTACTCTCGCTGAGTTTACTCACGATTGGATCTATAAATTGTAATATTATCTTGTTCTTAAAAAACCATGGAGAATTAAGAATGATCTTGTTGTTAAAATATTTTTTATACACGATTTGGGTATTTTAATTTATTTTCAATTAATTCTGAAGAATTCCTAACTTCATCTTCAAATACTACTTGAAATGCATTGAATAATAAATTATTTTAAAACTTCAAAAATAATATAAACAATCAATTAACGGCGGGNACCAAACTACATATACGAGTCCATCCTTTATTACCCCCCGCCACCCTTCTCTTTATCAAACGATATTTATACAGTATAGTACTTGATAAACGACATTTATTAAAAATAACTTTTCTCCCAAGTATGTATAATTATCTCCGCCATAAAAAAACGTACCAACCGTACACGAGAGCTCGTTCATATAAATCTAAAATTCAACACTCCTCCCCCATATTGTATACAAAAGACTCTTTCGATGCGCAAAAAATTGAAGGAAAAAAACACCTTGTTTTACGTGTCATTAAACGAGATACACTAATAAACAAGCCAATCAACTTAACGATGATACGTCAATGAGTTTATGGCACAAAACTAAAACATCACCAGCATCACCAGTTCGTCGGCTCGTAAGGGGACCGATTCGCGAAACAACAGTAACAACACTATCAACATCAACAAAAGCAGTACAAACACGTGCTAGCCTATACGAGCGTTTCTCGGTTTTTCGCGCACAGTAACCATCGTCACCATTAAAGTGTTGCTGACGACAGCACGACCAAGTGCCGGATTTATGGGCGAGTCGCCGGTTGTGAAGTCCTAGAAGAGCGTCTCCTGCGACCAGACCGTCAGGGGTGGGGACGACCTCACCGGCCGCGAAGTACCGCCGCTCGCCGGCCGGTGTTTCAGTTCGATGGGCGAGGACTTTGACGGCCCTGCTTGAGGCGCCGGGGGTGGTGAGCCCAAACAGCTTGCTCCTATGCTGTTCTGGCTACTGCTCGTTGTCGTCGACGTCGGCGACCTGCTGCTTTTTGTTCATATGTTGTTGGCAGTGGGGAAAGAAACACAGAGAAAAAATGGTTATTTTAGGTTAGGTTCATCGTTGAATTTTTTTTTTTTTGTTTTGTTGATTATTTACAGAAATTTGTACATTTACATAATAAAATGTGTGTGGGTGTGTAGTGACCATTGTATACCTAGTGCTTGCGGAGATTGATTTTTTATAAAATGTACAAAAATCTAGGACATGTAGCATAAACCCGTCAATGGTATCCGAAGCATCGATTTTCATGGATTCTCCTTGAAAAAATTACTTATAGATATTAATCAATCATTTCTGTTTTCAATAAATATTGGAGGCGTTTTCGAGAGGTGTGGCCTTTGTTCCGTCGATACGTACATACACTTGCGAACTTACGATGAGGCGCGTGTGGTTTACCGGGACGCGGAAAACCCGCTTGGCTATAATCGCCTTTTCCGTAACGATGCCAAGGAAAATATGTTTTTTTTTTTTTTTTTTTTTATTTAATACAGACATACTCAACGTCATTAAAATTTATGTCATTGTAATAATTTTTAATTCTCTGCTTAATTCTTACTTTAAACCACACGAGCTACTACTTAAAAATTTTTTTTCTGCCACTATAGGAAAGTAAGCAATGAAATTAGTTTTGTATTGTATAATTAATAAACGAATTAGTAAGACTTTATTCAAGAGATAATTAATCTTTACTAATTTCTTTTTATTTCAGTTTCATCAATTTTCATGATTTAAATATGTTGATATTGTCACAAATTTCTCTACTCATTTATTATTTTTTGTTTGTTTGATATTGTCTTTATTTTTCAAGTCGAAATTAATTAATATTATCTGCATACTTACGGCAGCCCCATCCAAGTACTGTACTAGCGCCCAACGTTCAACTTCGAAGAGTGGTCGAGGTGAGCTTTCGCTAAAACAACTAAGGTGTCAGTCGATTAATTTATCATGTTTGTGTTTTAAAATATTCTACTAAATTATTTTAATAAAAATTGGTATTCATACAGTGCCATGGTATGCGAGTTTCGAAAATATCGACGGTTTCCTTTGGCTTCGCTATCATTCTGAATAATCTAAGACAGGAAGCTTTGGTAAAAAAATACTCTTGAGCTTATCTTAGCCCCTAGTTTCCGTCTCACTCCACGCAGGTAATCAACGAGCTATGGCCATATCAAAAGTAGTGCGGCTAGAGCTTCAATACCGCGAGACGATAAGACGTATTTTCATACATTAATTAACCGCATAACTTCCTATCGAGGCAGTATAAATTGTCGTGCGTCCAAAGCAGAGCATCACTTCCAATCGCTCAGTTGACCGAGTGTCATCTGAGCTTGAAAAGTATCCAGTACTTTTATTGACTGTTATTATTTTTCGTTTTACTCACTGTCGAATCTTACACACCACACTCAAAATGTCCAAGCAATTCGATCTTTTGTTCGACCGTCCGGGTGAGCCTATGTACACCCCAAAAGGCGAGGCGAGAATCGGCATCGAAGTTCCATCAAAATTTGTGGTAATTATAACAGCTAATACTTGTTTGATTTTCATTAATTTTCAATAATAAATTTTTTAATACAAATATTGATCCTTCCAAAAATTTCAATTGTTTAACTTCCAAGTGATTAAAATGACTATAGAACCATTTTTTCCATCATGTGTTAACAATTTCAGCCCGAAGGTCTTAGACCAGCTGCGGCCGCATCTGCTGCCAGTGCGTCTAGAACGGTGAGGGTACGTGAGATAGCACTTCCCGACTTGTCTTACCCACTGTCCCTCCCTCGCACCGCTGTGTTTTCGTTGTTCAACCCCATTCACAGGAAGAAGGCAAACCATCTTCTGGCCGTCTTCTTAGGTGATTAAAATCACGTGTTTATCGACCAATAAAAATATTGTTTCTTTACAATAATTTGCCATTTTTATCGATCCAGCCTTGCGCACCTCCGAGGATCTGTTCGATGCCGCCGCTTCCATCCGTGACCAAGTGAACCCTCAAATGTTCGCTCATGCCCTTTCCATCGCTCTGCTGCATCGTACGGACACAAAGGACATCCCACTTCCTAATTTCCCGGAAAACTTCCCGGACAAATTCTTCGACAGTGCCGTCACCAAACAAGCCAGGGATGAAGCCAACGTTAAACCAGTCGGTTTACGAGTAAGTACATTTTTCATCGGTGTACAATATAATCCCATAAAAGTGACAAATTACTAAAAACAACTTTTTCAGATCCCCCTAGAGATTCCCAGAGACTGGACAGCTTCCGACAAAGATCCCGAGCATCTCGTGGCCTACTTCCGCGAGGATGTGGGCATCAACCTCCACCATTGGCATTGGCATCTGGTTTACCCATTCGACGGTCCCCGCGTCGTCGTTGACAAGGACAGGCGTGGCGAGCTCTTCTACTACATGCACCACCAGATCATGGCAAGGTACGTGACGTGCTCTTTTTGTAGATCCCTCTCATTGTACCCACGAATAGTCCAAAGTTATATATATATATATATACAATGTCGGTTATTGTTTCAGATACGACTGCGAGCGTCTCTGCAACAACCTTCCTCGTGTGAAGCCTCTCGACGAATTCCGCAAACCTATTCCGGAAGCGTACTTCCCGAAATTGGACGTCGTCAATGCTGGTCGTGCCTGGCCTGCTAGACCATCCAACATGACGCTCAGCGATGTCGACCGCGCCGTAGATCTGGCCAAGGTCACCATCACTGATCTCGAAAATTGGCACAGGAGCGTGATGGCCGCCATTAGGAGTAAGACGGTGACCAATACCAAGGGCGAGATCATTCGTCTCGACGACAAGAAGGGTATCGATATCATTGGCAACATGCTCGAAGCCAGTCCAGTTCTCAGTCCCAACTTGGAGCTCTACGGTGATTTGCACAACCAGGGACACAACGTCATTTCCCTTATCCACGACCCGGATCATCGTTACCTGGTATAATTATCCGTCGCTCAAGCTCACTGGCACAGTGGGGTTTCGACATTTACACAATTAATTGTTTTTAAATTCCGTTTTGCAGGAAAATGTCAGCGTCATGGGTGACAATACCACCGCTATGAGAGATCCTGTCTTCTACAGATGGCACAGCTACATCGACAACCTTTTCAGGGCGTTCAAGGACGACACGACTCCTTACTCCAAGGATGACGTAAGAAATCCAATCCATTACACACGTGTACCGATTATCTACATCTTGTATTCTCGATCGACAGCTTACCTTCCGTGGTGTTACCGTCACCCAACTTGGCATTAGCTCGGGCAATTCGAACCCCAACACCTTGAACACTCATTGGTCCATGGGTGACATCAATCTGTCCCGAGGTCTCGATTTTGCTCCACGTGGAGCTGTCTTGGTTCGCGTGACCCATCTCAATCACGACGAATTCTCCTACAATATTACCGTTAACAACACCAACAGCGCAACCGTTTGGGGAACGTGTCGTATCTTCATCGCGCCAAGACTTAACGAGAACAAGCAACCGTTGAACTTCAACGACCAGAGATTCCTGGCCATCGAGATGGACAAGTTCACTGTCGAGCGTGAGTTTGTCTAACACGAAACACTGCAGTCATAATATGCATCCTCATACGTGCCTAACGTTTATCGTTGTGTCACAGTAAAGAGAGGCCAGAACACAATTACGAGGAAGTCGACCGAGTCCTCGATCACCATCCCCTACGACGCCATATTCCGTGATCTGAACAAGGATCGGCCGGACGAGAGCAACCAGGGAGCCATAGCTCAGTACGCTTATTGTGGATGCGGCTGGCCGCAGTACATGCTTGTGCCCCGAGGCACCACCGAAGGCTACCCTATGGACCTGTTTGTCATGATCTCTGACTATCAGAAAGACAAGGTAATTAAAAACCATTCATTTTTTTTCACTTTAAAAATGTGCTCTCTTTCGTTAACCCCGTGCTTTTTTCAGGTCGATCAAACACCACCAGAGGGCTGCCGTACCGGGCCCAGCTTCTGTGGACTCCGGGACCGCAAGTACCCGGACGCCCAATCCATGGGATTCCCCTTCGATCGGTGGGCAGCGGCCAATAAGATGGACGATTTCCGTACTCCTAACATGATGACTCAGCAGATAACCGTCAGATACTCCGACACGGTCAAGCCGAGGAAATAATTTTGCTTTCCAAGAGTTATGAATTCATATATTATTTTCAATTTTTTTCGACCACATTAGGTCTTTGTTTCATTTTTTGATTCGAGTCTCGCAACGTTTCGGAGTATCATCCAAAGCCTCGATATTGTTGACGTGATGTAATTTCAATATAAAGAAATATTAATAAACAACAAACTGCATGTACCACGGGACTTTCTATATTCCTCACCCTTTTTCCCCACTCGTAACATTAAATATAATTTAATTGAGAATTTGGCTGTGTTGAAACATTAAACACAATAGATACAGTGACTTATTTAAAGCACGAGATAAACGTACAAATACTTAATTATGACAAACTGATTAGCTTGGGTGTGCACTACAACTGTAGCAGTCATTAAGTTATTTGAACAGTACAGTGCCGTAAATAATGTTTTTTTTTTTATAAAATTAAACAACGATTATAATAAAAATATAATTTTATCAATTATTATATTTTTTTAATGAATATTCCAAACCACGTGAATAATAAGTAATGTATGAATTAAGTGACGATTATTTTTGAACATCGAAAGTGAAGAAAAATCAAAAAGTTCCAATTTTTACCAATGGCTGACAGTTTTTGAAAAAGTAAAAAACGAGAATCATTGAACTAACAAATAATTATGAAATATTAATCGTGAAATTTTTTCTTTTTTTCTAATTTTTAAGGCTGTACTTCTTTTAAATTAATAAATATAATTTTCAGTAATCTTATTTTCATGAATATTCACTCTTTTACATACAAACAAATATTATAAAAATAACTCCGCAACATGCGGATAGCAAGATCATTTCTTGTAAGAAGTAATCTTACTCAGACCCTGCACACCTGACGTGTCTTCGACAAGGAGTGGGAAGCGTAAAAAAGTTGACAGTACATTGGATATTTTGGATGCACCACGCGCTCAACATGATTATATTTTCTGACAGGGTAATAATTAAATCCTCAATCCAGTAGCGGAATTTTCCAGATTTGTAATAATTGTCCTTTGGAGGTACTTCAACATCTACGACTTTGTTTCTAACTTAGTCGGTCCACGTACGAAAAAATCTATACCTACTATTAATACAGGAGTAAGCACAATGTTGCTCGTTCGCTCTTTCAATAAGACCACCTGATAACTTATTTGCTGTACCTCAAGAAAAATTATTTGGATAAACTTTGTCGTCGTAGCAAAATCTTGTGGATAACAGACCTTTTATTTTTTGATTATTTTTCTTACTGGGCGAAGGGAACGGTGTACAATGTTAATGGGACTTTAAAAACTACTTATTCTTCTCTTTATCCACAGCGTACAATGAAATTAAATGAAAATAACTCGGAAAAATCCCAGTTGAGTACAGTAATTGTAGCAGGTATTAAGTTATCTGAACATACTAATTATTCGAATGATATGTTTCGTGAAATTGAACAATATTTAAAACTATAACAATGTTTAGAGTCATTGAATTTAGTACCAGTGTTATAAATAAGTTGAATGATACAAGACATTTATCTATAAACTGAACAACAATAATAATATATTATTGCTAATAAAGCAGAATTAATTTTGTGTACACTTTATTGCAAAAAGATCTGTCTTTACTACTATATATTCAGTCAGAAAATAGACTCAATTATATGTATAAACAATAGCAATGCATGGCAATAACAATGAAAAAAACACTACATCAAGTTTATTTTAATTTGTTGCCTTATCATTTTGCACTATTCACAAGTCCTTCGCAAAGATCGTGCAACTTAGATTTTATAGTTTAAAATAAAAAAATTTAAAACGTGGCTAAAATTATTCATAAGATTACCTACATTTACACGTTTTAAGACAAAAACTTCAACGACACCATTTTATATAATATGTCTTGTATAACAGCTGTACTTTCTTATGACCTACAAGATTTTTGTTCAATAGCTTATTTAAAATGTTAACTAAAAACGTTATTTAATGTTTAATCATTTTTTTTTTCAATTGAGATGGATCTTTATCATTTAAAACTTTGGGATGGAATCGTAGAGAAAAATGTATACTTCGCGATGGAAATGTAATTTTTGGAGACTCAAGAATTTTGCTCTTAATTTCTAGTTCTAAATTATTAAATAAAAAAAATTAATTACTGCTAAGCAGCTTTTTGCAAATTAATAATTGTTGTACTCCTGTAAAATGTTAGTAAGCTATTTTAGAGGAAAATTTAAGAAAATACAAAAATTAACATTATGAGATTTGCAACACAAATTTTTAACAGTTTTTCTCTTTAGGGCTTAAGACTAAAATGTCTATGATTTTTTTTTCAATCCAAAAAAAAATCCTTGTTACACCCTAAATAAACGATTTATCAATACATATGGCTGTAATTTTTCCTCTGTTGAAATCAGAAGACACTCCAGTGGAGTTGTCGTGCTTGAAAAACAGAAAAACATTTCTCATGTCTGTGAAATTTAAGACTTGCAGGAGATTGAACACTTGATTAATTATTTATAACAACGATAATTGTGAAATGCGACCTTTTTAAAATTTTTATGGATAACCTATGATAACGGAAAATTTATTAATGTAGACATGTATTAAAAGACGTGACAAACGTAAAAAATAAAGAAAAATTTAATTGAGGACAAAAAAAATTTTTTTCTAGTGATCTATTTGTAAAAAGCTTATCTAATCTCAGGAAAAAACAGGATGTGGGTAAATCCAAATAAATTTATCAATATGTCATCGGCAACGTAAAAAAAAATTCTCATCATAGAACACAGACCAAAATCTACGCCACTCAGCGGAAATTCTGGTCACGCAGTCTACGATGTTTCTACCGGCTAGACGTGTTCCAATAATTAACCGCAATCATCCTCGGCAAAAAGTATAAATTTCTACGAATTTCATGCTCGCGCATCAGTCAACTCGTAGCAGTTGAAATCTGATCATTGTATTGTTCTACTTTAATCTCAAATTTTTTTTAAGCTAAATTTTGTTAATCTTCAAACTGGTTAGGAAACTATTGCATCATGAAGTCTGAAAAGTATTTGTCTCTATTGTTCGATCGCCCCACCGAGCCCCTCTTTATGCCCAAGGGCGACGAAAAAATCAATTTCGAAGTACCACCAATTTTCTTGGTAAGAATTTCGTCAATTGCAATGGTAAAATTCTTTTCAAAATTTACCTCTGTCAATTGATTTAATCAAATTTTATGCAGTCCGATGACCACCAAGCCACGAGTCAGTCGCTGCAGGTTCGTTTCGGCGACAAATCAAACACCTCCATCAAAGTGCCGGAAATAGCAATCCCTGATTTGAGTTTTCCATTGTCCCACGACCGCAACGCCAATTTTTCACTCTTCATCCCCACTCACAAGGAAAAAGCTGTTTACCTCACCGATGTATTTATGAGTACGTACACCCGAGGCACTTTGTACCTATATCAGAACGTTCCAAAATGTGATTACATGTTAATGAACCGCGAGTCTTTATAACATCATAGGTTGAACAATGTCATCGACTGTAAGCTGGTAAAAATTTTCGATAGGTACGGAGTGCCTGGGGTGTACAACTTGTGGTCAATGCTCGAACAAATACGTTTATTTGTAATGATCATTGTTCACATCACTCGTTTGTAATGTTTCAGAGCTACGAACTGTGCAGGATTTGCTGTACGTGGCTGCTTCGTGCCGCGATCGCATGAATCCCCAGCTGTTTGTGTACGCGCTATCTATCGCCGTGCTCCATCGTCCTGACACGAGACACGTGGAGATTCCAAAATTATGTGAAATTTTTCCCTGTAAATTCATGGACAGCAGCATCGTGGCCAAGGCCAGGGAGGATGCCACCGTTTTTCCCGCTGGTTCACGTGTACAAACTTTTGTCCATTACAGGAAGTTCTACGAGTGAAAAATTCAATCGAGTTTCAAAATTCGGTTGGATAATCATTGTCTCATTTTCACCCGAAGAACCTCCTCGATTTATATCAATGCCGTTTCAAGCCTAGACTAACAAATCACACTCGCGAATTCCACAGATCCCCATTGAAATACCACTGAACTACACGGCCTCCGACAAAGACTCGGAGCACCATGTAGCTTATTTCCGCGAGGACGTGGGCATCAACCTCCACCATTGGCATTGGCATCTCGTGTATCCTTTCGCCGGCCCAAAGGAGGTGGTTAACAAGGACCGGCGTGGCGAACTCGTCTACTATATGCACCACCAGATCATGGCAAGGTAGTACAATCGCAGTATTGCGGATAAAAAGTGTGCCCAACATATACTTCAAATTCCTTACCGTCAGATACAACACCGAGCGTCTCTGCAACAATCTCCAGCGCACGAAACCATTGTTGTCGTTTCGCCAGCCCATTCCCGAAGCTTACTTCCCGAAAATGGAGCAGAACGTCGCAGGGCGTGCCTGGCCAGCCAGACCGGCCAACATGACGCTCTCCGACATCAATAGATCCGTCGATTCGTTGGAATTTACGCTGTCCGACCTGGAAACTCGCCTGAACCGCGTTCGAGAAGCTATACGCACGCGAACGGCTCGCGATGTCAATGGAAAAGAAGTTCACCTGGACGACTTCACGGGCATCGACATTCTGGGCAACATGATGGAGGCGTCGCCGGTTCTCAGCATCAACTTCCCTTACTACGGTGATATTCACAACTTGGGACACGTGGCTGTGTCCTACTGTCACGATCCGGACCATCGTTACTTGGTACGCCGATATTTCCCCAGGGCTTATACTTTGATTGATCCCGTTGATCACTTCGCAGGAATCCTTTAGCGTCATGGGTGACTCAGCGACCGCCATGAGGGATCCAGTTTTTTACAGGTGGCACCAGACCATCGACGACCTCTTCATCCAGTTCAAGGACAGCTTGACTCCGTACAACTCCAGTCAAGTGCGTATAGTGTAACGAACGGCAACTCCAGAAAAGCCTTTGCAAAGGACATCCCGAACAGTATAGCTCTTTGGTTTTTGTTTTAGCTGAGGTTCATCGGGGTCAAGGTCACCGAAGTTGGCATAATCTCCAAAACGTCGAACCTGAACACCCTGAACACCCACTGGACAAGGAGCGACGTCGACATGTCGCGGGGCCTGGACTTTGCCCCCCGTCGAGCCGTGCTCGCCCGTCTGCAGCACCTCAACCACAACTCCTTCACCTACCACGTCACAGTCAACAACTCCAACAACCGGGACGTAATGGGAACGGTGCGCGTATTCCTTGCCCCCAAGTACAACGAGCAGGAGGCTCCATTGAGCTACAACGACCAGAGGAAGCTCATGATCGAGATGGACAAGTTTACCTGCGAGCGTAAGAATCTTGAGCGATATGATAGACGAGGCATGATGGTTCCTGTTGGGAGGATTCTTTGGGGACCAGTAAGATAATCGTTTCGATTTCGTTAACAGTGAAGAAAGGACACAACGTCATTCGGCGGAGCTCGCACGAGTCATCGGTCACTATTCCATACGAAGCCACGTTCCGTGATTTGAGCCACAACGCACCCGAAAGCCACAAACCGGAATGCGGGTGTGGTTGGCCTCAGCACATGCTCGTGCCAAAGGGCACGAAAAAGGGCTACGCCATGGACCTGTTCGTTATGATCACCAATTACGAATACGATAGGGTACGGGTTGTTGGTTTATCATTTTTTTTTAATATATTTCGAAAACATATGCAAATTTGGGAGTAGGTACGTTAATTCCCGAGTTGAATTTGCTTTAATTCCGAATCTTTAGATCGTTGGCTTCGAACTAAGGTTTTGTTCCATAAATCCAGAAATTCGAGAGTTAACCCGTGTCACCGGTGATAGAAAAAACAGTTTATTACGTAATTTAAATTGCCGATGATTGATATTGGGAATGAATTATTTTTCAGATAAATCAAAAGGAACCCGAGGGCTGCCGAATCAGTATGAGCTACTGCGGATTAAAAGATCGCAAATTTCCGGATGCGCGATCCATGGGATTCCCCTTCGATCGACGCGCTGCTGTCGCTACGCTGGAGCAATTTCTTACGCCGAACATGAAGGTCCAGACGATAACAGTGAGGTTTTCCGATACCGTCGAGCATCAGCGATGAAAAATCGTCCATCTAACCACAAAAGTTACTCATCATCATAATCCGTGCCTGTCCAAATAAAATCGTAGAATAAAAGTATACCGTTAAGCGAACTCTGTACGAATATAATTTTTTTTTTTTTTCTTGCATAACCTCATCTACAGTAATTAAATTTTTATTCTTTTAAACAATACTTCTCGAAAAACAAGGAACAACGTGGTACAGTTGCAGCACTTTGCTGAAAGCTCGGAACAAGTTGGACGACCAAAGCCCCGTGTGTAATTGAATCGAAACTGTTTGTCTCGTACGGAGACTCGGCAATAAATTCGATTTGCATCGCTGAACAGCCCACGGCCGAGAGAAATTGCTTCGTCGTTTTGCAAATTTACCATCCCAGCTGTCGCTAGGTGGGCTTCGTTGTTCCCTCTTTCTTCTCTTATTTTAACTACAGAATTAGTTTTTCCCTACCCCGTCATTGATTTTCTCCTGCCGAGCTGTACATCTTTTTTTTTTAAACAGCTTCAAACTTTTGGAATTTAAAACGTTTCACTGAACTTATGTCATTTTTAAATGCGCTTGGGTTAATTACGGAAACTCAGGATAGTAGCTTCTGACGGAAATAATTTTATCCCATCATCGATCGCCCTCTGCGTATTTTCCCTTTTTCTACATCGCCTCGTCGATCCTCTTTACTTTTTTCTCCATATAACTTACCTTCTCGAGCGGCCCGGAAGAGACTGGCACTTTATCATCGCGTTTATCCGAAACGAGTCCCTCCGAACTTTTAAAATCACTTGCAGCGAACTTGGCCTATCCCCCTTTTTTCCGATGAAAATTAAATGCCCCCCTGTCCCCCTTTCGATCGGCTGCTAGATTAGATTTATCAAATTTTTAATATCACATCGTTTATCCTCCAGTAAGTGCATGTCCGTAAAAATTTCTATATGCCTTTGTTCAAGTTTTGCAAATCGAATTTTATTTTCAAAAAATCACTTCATGTTCTCTAATTTTTCAATAAATACGAATATCAACAATCAAATATGGAACGAAGCAGCAGTACGATTTTTTTTTTTAATTAACCAAGTAAATAATGTAAACTAATATTTCAGCCAAACTCAACGAAAAACCAAGTAATCTGAACCTAAAAAAAAAGACAGAAAAAACGAAGAGGTAAATTAGTTGAAGCAGATCGGAGTCCCTTTCCACGACCAAATTAAATTTCCTAGACCGGTGCCGTAGAGTCACATAATTTTTTTTTTTTTTTTTTTTTCTTTAGAGCATCCCAGTGGGAGAGATTTAAAGCTGCAAATATCTCGGCCCACAATTTCGCTTCGGATCCAATGGATGCATCTCACCCTAGGAACTGATAATTTGCAAGCTCAATTTACGGATGATGTCTCCCTCCCCGTTGTCTTCTTCAAAACAGACGGTGAAACTTTGTTCGGACTTGTGCGCGAAGACAGAGAGGAAGACGGAGATCTTATGCGCGACACCAAGTGGCCGCTCAGATAAATAATTCATTTATACCATAGACTATGTAGTGTGGACTAATAAAGTTATGGCGAGAGTTTTTTCTTGAATTTGTGGATAAGGTTTAGTCAAGCTTCATCCAACTTACTTCAAGCTCTCGGCCATAGTTACCCCTCGACTTTTCTCTCCTCACAATTTTGATTAGACTTTCATTTTCAAAACTTTGCGCATTGGTGATTTTTTCTGCAAGCTCTTCGATTTTCTGCGCATTAAAAGCTCGTTTTTGTCATTCTGCAGCCATGAAATCCTTGAAGATGAGCACTACAATAATATTCTAGTTAAATTTTTGTCTCAAAGTGTAAGAACATGAACTCCATCATAAAAAAAATTTACCGAGTGAAAGGCCAAAAGGGCCGGATTTACACTCCTTCTCATTGATCGTGAGTGGTATCACAGGTGCAAGGGACAAAAAATAAGCTAGGATGGAAAGAATCCGTGATGGCGAAACAGAGAGCTCCGTAAAAGTTTTTCTCGCGTTACAGCTGAGCTTTCTCTCCCGTCTAAGTTTTTCTGCCTCTTTTTTTTCACGTCTCGGAGCAAGATCTCTCTCGGTGGAGGAGAAAAAGCACGAGAGACAAGCCATACGGAAATTATATCCCTCGGAGCTTTTTCGTACCGTTAGTATCTCTCGCAGCAGCTGCGACAAAGAAAACCACTCCGAGGGCCTTAATTACAGTTTTTTTACGATTACTCGGCCTCTCCGCGGATAATGAAAGCTAAACGTTTCCTTTTCGCGTCGAGCTTCTTCGTCTCTCCTTCGCATGAAGCTGCGAGCTTTTATATCTTTCAACTTGTAAAGAAAAAAAAACAGATCCCCAATCATCTCATCTTCATCAAACTCGCGTATTTACCCCCAGTGCTTCTCTTGCGTACACGTTGTACTAGGCAAGCGCGTCTCAAAGCACTTTATCCATCACGGGTAATATGTTTGTGTTATACATATATATGTGCCAAAGCCGCAAGCTCGCGAATACAATATACCAACTTTGCTGCGACAGTAATGGGGAAGACGCAAGTAGACTGTTGGAAACACAAGATGATCGTGCGTGGAAATGAGGATAAAGTGTTGCTGTCTCGTTTGATGGAAAAACTTAATGTCAGAGGTGATCTTTATCTCGCTGGTATCGTTAATCACTACTTACCGTAGCGTAGCGAGTAGTATATTTTGCTCTTTTTTTTTCGAATTAGGAAGTGAGAAATGTATGGCTGGATAACATTATTTTCTAGGTCGTCCATTAGAAAATAACGGGATGCCTGGGATGGAAAAAAATAACGAAGCAACTTAATCAATTCAGATTTGATGATTTAAAGACAGTAGTTAGTACCCACGAATTTTTTGAGAACTCAAAATTCTGGCAATGGTATGACAAATATTTTGATCGCATGGAGTAATCGAAAGATAAAATGTTTGTCCCAATAACAATAACAACACCTGCTGACGATGTAAGACAAATCGTCGCTTCTCTGGATCGAGATAAAAACGAAACTCGAGGGGGAAAGCTCTATTGGAACGAGATGGGTGATACATCTACAGGTATATATATGCCCATGGCTCATCCCTACGGTGGCAACGAGTTCGTATAATATATGCATCCGATGACAGCTTGAGAGATATTTAAGTGACTACGTAAGCCTGATCGATCAGCCGTGGGATGGGTATGGCACGTGCGCTATCGCAAAAAGCTTGCAAGCTCCCGGACAGCCAAGACGAGACAAACGGAGAGATCGGTTCAGTGCCTACGTGCGAAAGAGAATTTTATGCGAATCATATTGTTAAAAAAGCCGTACATGGTTTTTTATCGTAGTGATAAAATTTTATTTAGTGAAAAAAAAACGTACGCAAACATAAATCGACGAATTTAATAAGATTCCATGATCAAGATTACATGAGATGCTCCGTCAATACTGTTTGCACACAAAATCGCCAACGGAAATTATTTAAGGTGTATGTGTTTAATGACGTAATATACTTATTCGTGCGATTAAAAATAAGATAATAATGATAATAATAAGAAAATAAACTTATTTTTTGGAGCTTTTAAACTCAAAAACGTGATTTATAAAGAAAATATTTGGAACATTTTCTGCTAGAAATTAGTCAAGGTTTTATTAAAGGTTTTCAGTATAATCACCCATGTACATACCATTACACAATACGCCAGAGGTATGGTCCAGGTTACAAGAGAGAGAGAGAGAGAGGGAGACCGTAAGAGAACTGCCTCGCGAGATTTATAAAGCCGAGGAAAGGGAACGAGAGGCTGGTACACACTTATATCCTCGCTAAACTGCAGAAAGGATGAAAAGACCAGACCCGAGGGGAAGGAAAGATGGATGGAGGAACCAAGTCGTTCCCGGCTGCGCAAAAGTGACGGAGTCTCGTTAGTTTATACATTTTTTATTTTTTTTTATTCTCTATCTTCCTGCTTGTCCTTGTTTTAATCCGCGTAAAAACGTAAAACAAGTGCAAAGCCTCCTGGAGGGCGAGAGGCTCTTGCTTTGCCTTAAAATAGTTTCATTTAATTAATCGCCCAAAGAGCAATGATGGAAATAAAGAAAAGCGAGCTACCAACAAAACCCTTCGTCTCAACAGCGGGCCGAGTGAAAAATTGTCCTATTCGGTTGAGCCTCGTGGAAAAAAGTTACACACCGTCTGGAAGGGCACTAAAAAATAAATAAAAAATAACATTGTGCGCGTTTGAAAAGTGGCGCGTCCGAGCGAATTTATTCGCACGGACTAGCGTGAACTGACGCAGCTTGGCGTGAGATTCTATGGCATCTATATGATATATTATATTGTACACCCGCGTCTCGCAAGCTCTTCCTCTTTTATCTTTGGTTTCATCCGTTCCAACTCGTCACTCGCTACAGTACTGCTCTGATATTCGAATAAATATAATTTAGAAGGAAAATGCAATTCTCGTTTCACGTTTATCTGTCGTTGAAATTTTTGCCTCTCTCCTCACGGCAGGTGTACTATATTGCTGAGGTGGAAATAAGTTTAATCAGGTGCGTCATGTGTAAGCATGATTTTGTATCGACAAATTTTCAGAGGTTGTTACTGTCACTTTTCAAAACAATAATCAAAAAATTGGAAAGTATTGCAAATAAATATTTGAATGACGGGCTTATTTCCGTACATAACATCAATAGCTTTGTTTTGATGCATAATATTCTCGTGCTTTATGAACATTTCGATCGAAAATCATATATAAATCGGATGTACCATTGCATTAAAACAACGGTTCATTGAAAATCTCATCAAATTTGTTTGTTTTATGAATAAAAGTGAAATAAAAATATTTTATACACTCCGCTAGTCAAATAAAAATAGACCCTTTGGTTTGATATTTCGCTGGAATAACGGTAAAAAATAAAATCAACAAAACATCTATAAAACGTCTCGCGCATAAATGAATACAGTTCCAACAACAATGAGAAAAGCAAACGCGGAGCCGGCCTTAACACCTTCGGTAGAGTGGGAGCGCACGTTTCGTTGGTGGCGTTAAAAATAAGAAGAAAAAAAAAAAAAAACGAAGAAGGGTATTATGGAGAAACAGGCAACCGCTACAGGATTTGCACAGAATTTGCAAAGAGTAAAGGCAGCGATACCTATTGTACAGAAAATGGAATTTTAATCAACACTTTGTGTGCACAGATAATTTCAACGGTATACTGTTAGCTATAGTCGTATGTTTTAAATGCCACTTGAATACTTTATTTACGATCGCGAAATCTCCAATATCATTTTTGATAGATCATTCATTACGCATTTTTGATTAAACCCATGCCTAGTCTGTAATAACTGTTCAACTATATAGAAAAATAGCACTCACAGGTCAAAATTGGTAAAAATAAAAAATAGTATATATTTTAAAGAAAATCGTCATCACCATGGAGTATTATCACCCGTGTAAATTTCATCTNATTCACTGTCATATTGACTTTATAAACATTTTTTTCTTTTATTAACGTATTAACCGATGATGCGAAAAAAAAAACATGTGATAAGTAACTCTTGCAGTAGTCTCGACTACCGATTCAACCACAAATTATGGCTAATTGTAAGAATGTCAGTCTCATAGTCTGTATGCCAAAAAATGCATCAATGGACAAACACAGTTTCTCCCACGGTGTCACTTCATAGCGAGCGTATCCTTGCCTTTGGCTTTCGACGCGCGAAACGGTCGCCACTCCCCCAGTATGTCCCGAATCTCGTGGAACGTCTTGCCCTTGGTCTCGGGCACGAACCCATAAACAAACCCAAAGAGCGCGAAACACGAGACGGTGAAGAACACGTAGACCACTCGCGAGCCCACAGTAGAAAAAACAACCTCGTACATCTTGGTGACGGCGAACTCCAGCAGGCCATCGAATATCGTGACCACGGCCCCGGCGACGCCCTTCGCGTTCACCGGGAACAGCTCGCCAATCAGCAGGTACGCCATCGTGCCCAGCCCCATCTGATAGACCACCTGGTAAACGACCACGTCGACCACGGGCAACAGGTTCGCCGCCGACACGTCCACGCCCTCACCCCTCAGCGACAGGTAAGCCCCCAGAACGCCAAGGGCGATGGCACAACCGAGACTAGCCGCCAACAGCAAGGGCCGCCTGCCCGTCCTCTCGACGCACAGTGCCGAGGCCACCCCCGACGCCAGACCCACCCCGGACACGATGATCGTCGCCACGTCCGGACCAATACCTATCCCCGCGTCACCAAACATCTGCTCCAGGTACTGCATCGTGCTGAAGTTGCCGCTCAACTGCTGGCCCAGGACCAGGACCATCACGATCAGCAGTGCCCTCCTGTTTGTAGGTTCGAGCAGTAGATGGACGTTGGCGAAGCTGAACTCGAGGTGGCCGGTGTCCTCGCCCATGTCGTAGCGCACGTCGGCCAACTCCTCGGCCAACTCGCTCGGTTCATCGATCCCCTTGAAGAAGCCAATGGCCTTCTTGGCTTCCTCGTCCCTGCCCTGGGTCGCGAGCCAGTAGGGGCTCTCGGGGAACCAGACGAAGGTGGCGACGAACAGCACCGGCACGGCCATGAGGACGTAGACGAGGACGTGGTAGGACGTGTACGGGCCAACGCTGCAGGCTAGTAGGGAGCCGGTGAAGACGTTGACGGCTACGAGGCTGCCAACGGCACCGCGGATGCCCACGTCCACCACCTCCGAGACGTACATGGGGCTGGCGGTGTAGGACATGCCCACGCCGAAGCCGAGGATGACTCGCGCTGCGTACAAGTGCCAGGCGTTTTGGGCGAAGGTGACGAGCAGCCAGCCCAGGGTGTAGAACAGGGAGGTCTGGAGTAGGCATGGTCGGCGACCGAGGCTGAAATCAGAGTGGGTTGGTGGGGGGATTTCTCGAGTTTGGGAAGTTTGGTCATCTTACGTCGCGGCCACGTAGACGCCGTAGAAGGGGCCGAGCATAGAGCCAATTGCAGTGATGGAAATGACCCAGGACGACTCGTCCGAGGTTAGGTGCAGGGGAACCTCGCCATTGTGGGTGCTGGAGTTGCCGGTCAGGTGTGGGATCGTTGTGGTGGTCCAGCCGTAAACGGTGCCCACTGACACCATCGACAGGGTGGCTGGAAAATGCCGTTGGTGAATTTTTTTTTTTTTTTTTCTTTTAAACGCTTGGGAGCAAGGATCTGAGTGACATCTTTATTTTAGGCGCAAAATACAGCTATCTTTGGGCTTTTTTTCGCACCAAAAACTGAGATGGCTTCCACTTGCCTCCAAGCGTCGATCTACATCACTTACTCTGTGGGATCCTGATCACAGTCAGGCCTGGATTAAAATAGTGTACAAATATATTGTATTTTTTAATTACATGATTTTTTTTTTACTGTGATTGATTTGAATCTATTTTTAGCATTGTTCTTTTTTTCATTTTTAAAATAAGTAACGCAACAATGAAACATAAACTAACTTTTTTTCTTTCTCCAAACGTATTGTAATAACGTTTTCATGGATTTAAAAACATAATGTCGAAAAAAATGTATCAAATTACTTGGAACGAGACGTAAAAACTGTTTTGTATATTTTGCCTTTCCGGTGCAGTTTTTTTTTTTTTTTGCTACGAACATAATACACGGGCTATTCGTACGGGCGATGTAAAATGAAAAAACACGTTTCACGAACATCGAGAAAACTGCAACGATGGATACATTACAAGAGAAAAAGGGAAAAAAGCTTCTACAACGTAAAAAGGGCGATGCTGGTGTACAGCTTCCAGTCGTTTACTTTTCAGCCCAGTTCTCGGTGTGCCGGCGATGTTTGACTTGCGACGGAAAATAGGACAAGGCAAAGCATGCGCGCAAAACTCGCTCGTCCCGTTATAGGCACTGTTGTCGCAGAGCACCCGAAAATCATTACGCAAAGTTGGTAGGTCGCGCTTTAAAGCATTACTCTCGCTTGTGTACCTATAAGTATGTAGGTATGTATACGTACGCGGGTTTGAACGGAACTACAGCCACGCGAAAGTTTTAACTTTATTTCGTACGTATCGCGTTTTATGAAATGAGTCCCGCTTCGAGATGGCAAAAGTTGCGCCGTAAACAGAATTCGTAACGACACTTGGGTACACCCTAAAGTTACGAATGCACTTATGAATGAAGATATGTAAGTTACGTCGCTCTTGTTGTTGTACAGTAACCCACGAATTGTCTTGCAAAACATGAAATGAATATTCAAGTTTTCGTACCGGATAGACAGGCTGCCCATTGTTTCCACTGGCTCCTCTTCTGGATCCCAGATCCAACCGGTGCAGTTGTATCCATTCTATTTTTTTTTTTCCGGGATCTCAGTTTTTCAACCCATTTAACTAAAACTTCAAAGTGAGAGTTTATACCTCATTGACAGTTGATGAAATTGTTAATAAAAATGTCTCAACACCGTTGGAAAGTAACAACAGTAACTGGATGATTATTTATCAATGCGCACAGACTCTTGCATCATTTCGATATCAATCACCAAGAAATTTACGCCGATTTGTTAATCACTAAATCATATATAAATAAATATAAAAACCACAATTATACATTATCACCGTAAACTGCAAAGGAGTCTTCCTAAACCTCAGCACAATTAAACGTGATATTGTTTTTGGACGAAATCATCAACGAGCGCAGCACCGTGTACGAATGAAATACCGATTTTCAGAGATCGGCGTCATATTATGTATTAAAAAAATTCACCTTCGAAGCAGCACGACTAAAATATTTCTCACACTCAACTCCGCGAGAGTGATCTAAACTCCCTCGAGTCGATGAACAGTTGGACGCACGACGCGTTAACCGCGAGCCCGACAATTAACTCGCATCCGAACGAATTGTATCTCGTTGTCGGACTTCTCGGGCGCAAATGCATAGAGTACACGCATCGATCAATCAGTGGAGTGGGGGAATCGTATTCCCCACTTTGTAAGAACTACGAACACGCGAGGGCCTACCAACGATAGACGTCTATAGTGTAGTCGATCGGTTTGTAGATTAGATAAGTCCGGAAAAGCTCAAACGTCATATTTGACTTGACTTATCGTTCAAAAATACATCTCGTGTGCATACGACATATTATATCACAGAATATCATATAATGCTCACATAAAGTCAAAGTTCACAGTGATGACCCGTTTTTACGCAATTTATAGTGACGTACCGATGAAACGTACCTATACGTAACTTTGTTGTTTTAATCACTCTCCACCGGGCTTTTTTTGTATTTGGTCATTTGTCCTTGTGAGACTGGCCTTGTAATTGAGCTGTCCGCGCCAGCACGTGCCTCGAGAGGCGCGGATTACGAGGCACGCGAGTGTCGCGCGAGATTGGCGGTTGCTCGGGGAGAGGTGGGGAATCTTCGGATCGGCTCGCGTGCCTTGAATTTCACCTGGGAGAGATGCCTTTCGGGTGTAGGGCTGCGCTAGGGTTCTCAAAACGCCTGAGATAGCCGTCGCCGTTGGTCCGAATTTTCCAGTCGAGAGGTTTTGAGACGAGATATTTTCGCAAATGCGAAATTCACGTGAAAAGCAGTACATGTCCAGCCGTTTCTTTCCTCCGTTCTATTCGGTGGCTACTAGTTGACACTAAGCTGTATAGTACAACTAAAACAAGTTTTGCACGAGCCTGATGAAATTTTTTTTTCTCGTTTATTTGAACGTTTATCAGTATTTTTTAAGGAAATGAATCTGGACTTGGGAGGTACAGTTTGTCGTAACAGGACCAACTGTTAACCCAACATTAAGGAAAAATTTCATTCTTAAACATTACTCAAGTCACTCATTCATGGGTAAGTTGTCCAATTTAACAATGTATACTAACGTACAAAGTTTGGTAATAAAATTAGTCAAGACAATTTTTTCCAAAATATATGATAAACACGTTTTATTTTTCATCTTTATTCGCAAAATTGAATATCAACTGTGACACTAGTCTTGTTTTATTATTAATATATTAATACATCATGGAATTGTCATTTCAATGTATTATACCAAAAAATGCATAGAGTTTTGCAAACCCATTGGAAACAAGCACGGCATGCACATTACAAATGTTTTAATGGAGTATTTCCAATTGTAGAGATTGGATGTATCGTGCCTTTTTTTCACGAAACCTCGTTAATAATTTTTTAATCAAACGGTAATTTTACCTATAGACAAAAGTATTAATGTTATTCAATTGGCACAGAGAACTTTGTTACTAGAGTTCATAATTCAAATAATTGATCAGTACCAAATTTACTATGCCCACTATATCGTACCTGAACCATACATCACGTTAGCGCTATTATTTATTATACTTTGTACTCGCAACGTATTTACTTATTTTCGCAAATGTGAAATATACTCCGTTAAAATAGATGAAGTATGCATATTGTGCGTGTTAATTCTTGAGCATCTGTTGATGAAAATACTGAAAAAGTAATGACACACAACCGACACGGTAATGATACAAAATTCGATTCACGCCTCCTGAGCTTTGGGTTTGTCGGGCCTTGTCGTGCACGGGCCCGCGCAACACGACAAGTCACTCGACACCCGAAACGGACGCAACGTCCCCAGTATGTCCTGAATCTGGCCGAAAGTCCGGCCCTTGGTCTCGGGCACGTACGCAAAGACGAAAATAAACAGCACGAAACACGAGGTCCCGTATATGAGGTACGACACCTTGGAACCATAATGTTCCATGATCGGATCGAAGGTGATCATAACTACGAAGCCGACGACGCTGTCGAACACCGTAGCTATGGCTCCGGCGATGGCTTTGACGCTCGGGGGAAACAGCTCGCCCACCAGTATATTCGTCATCGTGCCCATTCCAACCTGATAAACAATCGCAAACGCGACCACGTCCACGACGGGCAACAGATTTATCGAGGTCATGTCCACGTGCATGTACTCTAGCAGGAAATAAGTCCCCAGCACTATGTGCGTCACCGCACAGCCGAAACTCGACACGATGAGGAGGGATCGCCGGCCGGCTTTTTCCACCGTCGCCGTGGACAGGGCACCAAAAACCAGACTCACGGCCATGACGATGATCGTGGCCACGTGGGGCTCGATACCGATGTTCGACTGCTGGAACACTTTCTCCAGGTACTGCATCGTGCCGAAGTTGCCGCTAAACTGCTGGCCCAGAACCAGGACCATCACGATCAGCAGTGCCCTCCGGTTCCTCAGTTTGCCCAGCAGCAGGAAATCCCGCCAATTGATCTTGAGCTCGTCCGTGCCGATGTTGTTCTTAACGATCTCCAGCTCGGCGGACAGGTCCACGTCGCCCTTGAAGAAGCCAATGGCCTTCTTGGCTTCCTCGTCCCTGCCCTGGGTCGCGAGCCAGTAGGGGCTCTCGGGGAACCAGATGAAGGTGGCGACGAACAGCACCGGCACGGCCATGAGGACGTAGACGAGGACGTGGTAGGACGTGTACGGGCCAACGNTTTTTTTTTTTTTTTTTTTTTTTTTTTTTTTTTTTTTTTTTTCTTTAGAGCATCCCAGTGGGAGAGATTTAAAGCTGCAAATATCTCGGCCCACAATTTCGCTTCGGATCCAATGGATGCATCTCACCCTAGGAACTGATAATTTGCAAGCTCAATTTACGGATGATGTCTCCCTCCCCGTTGTCTTCTTCAAAACAGACGGTGAAACTTTGTTCGGACTTGTGCGCGAAGACAGAGAGGAAGACGGAGATCTTATGCGCGACACCAAGTGGCCGCTCAGATAAATAATTCATTTATACCATAGACTATGTAGTGTGGACTAATAAAGTTATGGCGAGAGTTTTTTCTTGAATTTGTGGATAAGGTTTAGTCAAGCTTCATCCAACTTACTTCAAGCTCTCGGCCATAGTTACCCCTCGACTTTTCTCTCCTCACAATTTTGATTAGACTTTCATTTTCAAAACTTTGCGCATTGGTGATTTTTTCTGCAAGCTCTTCGATTTTCTGCGCATTAAAAGCTCGTTTTTGTCATTCTGCAGCCATGAAATCCTTGAAGATGAGCACTACAATAATATTCTAGTTAAATTTTTGTCTCAAAGTGTAAGAACATGAACTCCATCATAAAAAAAATTTACCGAGTGAAAGGCCAAAAGGGCCGGATTTACACTCCTTCTCATTGATCGTGAGTGGTATCACAGGTGCAAGGGACAAAAAATAAGCTAGGATGGAAAGAATCCGTGATGGCGAAACAGAGAGCTCCGTAAAAGTTTTTCTCGCGTTACAGCTGAGCTTTCTCTCCCGTCTAAGTTTTTCTGCCTCTTTTTTTTCACGTCTCGGAGCAAGATCTCTCTCGGTGGAGGAGAAAAAGCACGAGAGACAAGCCATACGGAAATTATATCCCTCGGAGCTTTTTCGTACCGTTAGTATCTCTCGCAGCAGCTGCGACAAAGAAAACCACTCCGAGGGCCTTAATTACAGTTTTTTTACGATTACTCGGCCTCTCCGCGGATAATGAAAGCTAAACGTTTCCTTTTCGCGTCGAGCTTCTTCGTCTCTCCTTCGCATGAAGCTGCGAGCTTTTATATCTTTCAACTTGTAAAGAAAAAAAAACAGATCCCCAATCATCTCATCTTCATCAAACTCGCGTATTTACCCCCAGTGCTTCTCTTGCGTACACGTTGTACTAGGCAAGCGCGTCTCAAAGCACTTTATCCATCACGGGTAATATGTTTGTGTTATACATATATATGTGCCAAAGCCGCAAGCTCGCGAATACAATATACCAACTTTGCTGCGACAGTAATGGGGAAGACGCAAGTAGACTGTTGGAAACACAAGATGATCGTGCGTGGAAATGAGGATAAAGTGTTGCTGTCTCGTTTGATGGAAAAACTTAATGTCAGAGGTGATCTTTATCTCGCTGGTATCGTTAATCACTACTTACCGTAGCGTAGCGAGTAGTATATTTTGCTCTTTTTTTTTCGAATTAGGAAGTGAGAAATGTATGGCTGGATAACATTATTTTCTAGGTCGTCCATTAGAAAATAACGGGATGCCTGGGATGGAAAAAAATAACGAAGCAACTTAATCAATTCAGATTTGATGATTTAAAGACAGTAGTTAGTACCCACGAATTTTTTGAGAACTCAAAATTCTGGCAATGGTATGACAAATATTTTGATCGCATGGAGTAATCGAAAGATAAAATGTTTGTCCCAATAACAATAACAACACCTGCTGACGATGTAAGACAAATCGTCGCTTCTCTGGATCGAGATAAAAACGAAACTCGAGGGGGAAAGCTCTATTGGAACGAGATGGGTGATACATCTACAGGTATATATATGCCCATGGCTCATCCCTACGGTGGCAACGAGTTCGTATAATATATGCATCCGATGACAGCTTGAGAGATATTTAAGTGACTACGTAAGCCTGATCGATCAGCCGTGGGATGGGTATGGCACGTGCGCTATCGCAAAAAGCTTGCAAGCTCCCGGACAGCCAAGACGAGACAAACGGAGAGATCGGTTCAGTGCCTACGTGCGAAAGAGAATTTTATGCGAATCATATTGTTAAAAAAGCCGTACATGGTTTTTTATCGTAGTGATAAAATTTTATTTAGTGAAAAAAAAACGTACGCAAACATAAATCGACGAATTTAATAAGATTCCATGATCAAGATTACATGAGATGCTCCGTCAATACTGTTTGCACACAAAATCGCCAACGGAAATTATTTAAGGTGTATGTGTTTAATGACGTAATATACTTATTCGTGCGATTAAAAATAAGATAATAATGATAATAATAAGAAAATAAACTTATTTTTTGGAGCTTTTAAACTCAAAAACGTGATTTATAAAGAAAATATTTGGAACATTTTCTGCTAGAAATTAGTCAAGGTTTTATTAAAGGTTTTCAGTATAATCACCCATGTACATACCATTACACAATACGCCAGAGGTATGGTCCAGGTTACAAGAGAGAGAGAGAGAGAGGGAGACCGTAAGAGAACTGCCTCGCGAGATTTATAAAGCCGAGGAAAGGGAACGAGAGGCTGGTACACACTTATATCCTCGCTAAACTGCAGAAAGGATGAAAAGACCAGACCCGAGGGGAAGGAAAGATGGATGGAGGAACCAAGTCGTTCCCGGCTGCGCAAAAGTGACGGAGTCTCGTTAGTTTATACATTTTTTATTTTTTTTTATTCTCTATCTTCCTGCTTGTCCTTGTTTTAATCCGCGTAAAAACGTAAAACAAGTGCAAAGCCTCCTGGAGGGCGAGAGGCTCTTGCTTTGCCTTAAAATAGTTTCATTTAATTAATCGCCCAAAGAGCAATGATGGAAATAAAGAAAAGCGAGCTACCAACAAAACCCTTCGTCTCAACAGCGGGCCGAGTGAAAAATTGTCCTATTCGGTTGAGCCTCGTGGAAAAAAGTTACACACCGTCTGGAAGGGCACTAAAAAATAAATAAAAAATAACATTGTGCGCGTTTGAAAAGTGGCGCGTCCGAGCGAATTTATTCGCACGGACTAGCGTGAACTGACGCAGCTTGGCGTGAGATTCTATGGCATCTATATGATATATTATATTGTACACCCGCGTCTCGCAAGCTCTTCCTCTTTTATCTTTGGTTTCATCCGTTCCAACTCGTCACTCGCTACAGTACTGCTCTGATATTCGAATAAATATAATTTAGAAGGAAAATGCAATTCTCGTTTCACGTTTATCTGTCGTTGAAATTTTTGCCTCTCTCCTCACGGCAGGTGTACTATATTGCTGAGGTGGAAATAAGTTTAATCAGGTGCGTCATGTGTAAGCATGATTTTGTATCGACAAATTTTCAGAGGTTGTTACTGTCACTTTTCAAAACAATAATCAAAAAATTGGAAAGTATTGCAAATAAATATTTGAATGACGGGCTTATTTCCGTACATAACATCAATAGCTTTGTTTTGATGCATAATATTCTCGTGCTTTATGAACATTTCGATCGAAAATCATATATAAATCGGATGTACCATTGCATTAAAACAACGGTTCATTGAAAATCTCATCAAATTTGTTTGTTTTATGAATAAAAGTGAAATAAAAATATTTTATACACTCCGCTAGTCAAATAAAAATAGACCCTTTGGTTTGATATTTCGCTGGAATAACGGTAAAAAATAAAATCAACAAAACATCTATAAAACGTCTCGCGCATAAATGAATACAGTTCCAACAACAATGAGAAAAGCAAACGCGGAGCCGGCCTTAACACCTTCGGTAGAGTGGGAGCGCACGTTTCGTTGGTGGCGTTAAAAATAAGAAGAAAAAAAAAAAAAAACGAAGAAGGGTATTATGGAGAAACAGGCAACCGCTACAGGATTTGCACAGAATTTGCAAAGAGTAAAGGCAGCGATACCTATTGTACAGAAAATGGAATTTTAATCAACACTTTGTGTGCACAGATAATTTCAACGGTATACTGTTAGCTATAGTCGTATGTTTTAAATGCCACTTGAATACTTTATTTACGATCGCGAAATCTCCAATATCATTTTTGATAGATCATTCATTACGCATTTTTGATTAAACCCATGCCTAGTCTGTAATAACTGTTCAACTATATAGAAAAATAGCACTCACAGGTCAAAATTGGTAAAAATAAAAAATAGTATATATTTTAAAGAAAATCGTCATCACCATGGAGTATTATCACCCGTGTAAATTTCATCTCATCTTTCTTCTTTTTTTTTCTCGCTACTTCACTTTTTAATTAAATGTCTTTGATGTTTACTTAAAATGGTCAATCATGAAATTCGGGATGATAAAATATTTGTTGTATTTTGTCGAAAACGACGGGTTTTCATTCTTAATGCAAAATCTATTGGTACGCTCATGTAGTACATTAATAATTTGTATATTTTATCATAAGGTCCACCGACTGAAGTTGTAACATGAATTTTTTCACCTGTGCAAAGCAATTTTTTTTTTTTTTTTTATCGAGCGACCGGTTTTACATACTGAGATTACTTTTGCAGAGTAAAATAAAAAAAAAAAAAAAAAAAAAAAAAAAAAAAGGAATACGTAACAAAAACCAAATAAGCTGTTGGCACGCTTTTCTCGCTCGCTCGGCTTTTTGTGCAAAAAAACAACGCAAACACGTCACGTGTAAACGCGTTTGAAACTAAAAAAACAGGAGGGGGACATCAAATGCAGCAGGAATATCCCGTGAACAAATGAAAGCTCAAATCCCCTGTAGTTCTGGAGCCATCACACACTTCGTACGTGATGTTGGGAATGTGTACTCCTGGCCTCCCGATTGAGCACGGCATCGTATACCTCGGGTTTATTCGTCTTGTTCGACCATTTTTACCGAGTTTTTACATATAAATGTGGTTAACAGTAAACCTTAAATCTTATCGCTCCCTTTTTTGATCAAATCATATTAGTCCCGTGTCGGCTAATCATCGAATGCATAAATATGTGCGGGTAATTTTGGAAATCAAGCCACGTATAGAAAAGTTTCCTTCTATTTTATTAATTGATGACTTGTGGCATCAATATACGATGTTCGATTAAATAAGTGATCTGCTTAATGTACTCTTTTTTGAGGGTGATAGTATGTATACATTGGTACCATCGGTAATTAGCTTATCGTTCAGTACATCGATAATTGATCGATCGAGGATCCTGCCATCGATTATATTTACCCAAATAATTGATTATCAAGTCCCACTATTTTTTTACTCTCTTAAAACATCGATCCTCTTACCTGAATAATCGGTATTTTCCTATTATTTGGCTCAAATTGCCTCTCGTCACGATAATTTACAAAAAAAATAAGGTTGATGATTCATAAAAATTTTACGTTTTTCTTTTTTTTTCCAACAACAATAAAAAATATGGATATTCGCTACTATTATCCAGGGTCCTACGAAGCATCATTATTTTTTTCCAGCCAACAAAACCAGATGCGAGATATATACATGTAACAAGCATCTGGAACAACAATACAATACAGGGGGTGAACGAGGACGATCGTCTGGACACCACATTGGAAATCCCTCGATTTGTAAGACCATTTTTGCGAGCGTGCGCGAGGAAACAGAAATAAAGGAGTTTGCCGATGCCCCGATGCAATCTCCAAGGTGTATGGAAGCGCACAATTTTCTATCCTATTCTTATCCGCACAACGCGCCGCAACGTATTTGTCCCCGTCGAGATGACAATTGGATGCTGCTGCGCTCGCCCACACGCTCTACATCAAATATACTACGTGGGAAAAGCAAATTTATCAACCGAGAGACGGTTGATACGCTCCGTGTCGACACGTATACAATTCATCCAGTGGGTGCTGTACCGTGAAGCAAAAGATATATATTTTTATGTGCTGAAAATAAAATTTTTAATGTATTGAATGAAGAAAGAAAAGTTCGTTTGGACAAGGGACTTGACGTTACATGCGCGCAGGAGTTGTCTCGTCGAAGCTCCCGTTGAAAAGTGGTGGGAGAGAGCTTTCGGCAAGGTTTTCGCCGAAAAGTATAAAAATAACTCGCGTGAAAAGCCCACGGCTGGGTTGAGCTCCTTTTCAATGATTCTCGCTCGAGAGCCTTAATCGTCTCTTTCCAGGGGCGCAATAATAAAAAAAAAAGGTGGGTGGTGGGGGGAACATCCAGCCATTCTTCTTTCAGCTTGAAGTACAAAAGAGAGCGAGGGAATCTAGAAAGGCAAAGCCGCGAGCCTTTTTGTATCAACAGAACAGCCCCGAAGCGTATCGAACTATAAATTTACGGGGCGCGTAACTTTCAGCCCCCGTATACGTGGTGCTTCCTCTTCCCCCCCCCCCTCCCCGAGGCCTGCCACTCTCAACTTTGCCTCTCGCGTTACCCCTTGCACTGCTGATCCTCGGAATTTACGGAGCTCGCGCGAGATTACAGGGCTCCCCGGTTTTTCCGTCCGAATGGAAAATCGCTGGAACAGTGGTCACCCGAAATTGAATAAAACAAGCGCACCGCGTGCATTAATCAATGAAACGCTACCGAGTGATCTTCGCAACGACCGCGGGCATTTATCCGTTGACGTAAGTACCGGACGCATATGTATATGTAATGTACATTTGTACGCGTCGTCCTTCGGTTGCTGTATGTATATATATATACCTGTACGGTGTGGACAGGCCTATACAGTGGGTGTTTTGTCGAACCTACGGCGGATGTTAGAACGTTACGTATATGAATCGTGTAACCCGCTCGTGACTGAAAAAGAACACCTGCGATCATTAACTCTGTTCTTTTTTAGCTCAAAGTTGTTACACACAGAGTCCACACCTACATTGGAACTATAGACGTAGAATCATCAGGTATAAGTGTAACTTTATAATTATTATTGCACAATAGTGTAGAATACCGGTGCTGCGGTGAATATTAATGAGCAAACATCCTGCAGAATAGTATACCTCGAGTTTACTTTTTCGAGCAAAACCCTCGGCTGGCTATAACCGAGAGAATGAAAGAGAGTGCAAAATGGAAGGAAAAGAAGAAAAAAGGACTGAGCGGCTCGATTAATCAAGCGATCGAAAGCGCGTTTTCGCGTGCTTTTCTGCACTTACCGTTTCTATCATGGAAGCAGTGTGGGAAAGGGAAAAAAATACACGCCGCGTCTGCTTATTAAAAGCCTCGATCCATCGTTCCAGGCCGATGTATAGCACACGCTTAGTTAGGGGGAAAAAAAGCACATGAAAGATTTTTTCTTCCTGACGAGGCAATCTCGTCCCCCCAGGGACTGCTTATTACTGTACGTTATCACTGTATTTTCACGTGCACGACCATACCTCCCAGTACAGTTGTGTTTCCACCTAATTTGCATAAAATCCATGCACGTTGTACATAATATACGTTATACTTTTCACCTTTGTCCTTTTTGTCACTTTTATACGTTATTTACAGGGTTGAAAGAAATTCACGGGGATTAGCTCCAGGAAAAGGTGTTTGCCTTATTTTATAAACCTATATACTTCATGCAGTTTATCGCACTTCATCTTTGTACACCGTATACACGTGACAGCACATTATTTATTTTAATCGTTTTTTTATTTCTTTCTCAGACGTGATTTACTATTACAAAAAAACGAGCTCGACACTGCTCTAACTGAGATAATAGCTAAATGCTTCGTAAAAGGCGAATTACAACGCGTGCGAGGTTTATCTTTTGAGGAAAATGTTCGACGTGACCAATCGATCAAAACATTCGCTGAATAGGGAAAATTTCATGAGACAAATGTATGATTCACTGTCATATTGACTTTATAAACATTTTTTTCTTTTATTAACGTATTAACCGATGATGCGAAAAAAAAAACATGTGATAAGTAACTCTTGCAGTAGTCTCGACTACCGATTCAACCACAAATTATGGCTAATTGTAAGAATGTCAGTCTCATAGTCTGTATGCCAAAAAATGCATCAATGGACAAACACAGTTTCTCCCACGGTGTCACTTCATAGCGAGCGTATCCTTGCCTTTGGCTTTCGACGCGCGAAACGGTCGCCACTCCCCCAGTATGTCCCGAATCTCGTGGAACGTCTTGCCCTTGGTCTCGGGCACGAACCCATAAACAAACCCAAAGAGCGCGAAACACGAGACGGTGAAGAACACGTAGACCACTCGCGAGCCCACAGTAGAAAAAACAACCTCGTACATCTTGGTGACGGCGAACTCCAGCAGGCCATCGAATATCGTGACCACGGCCCCGGCGACGCCCTTCGCGTTCACCGGGAACAGCTCGCCAATCAGCAGGTACGCCATCGTGCCCAGCCCCATCTGATAGACCACCTGGTAAACGACCACGTCGACCACGGGCAACAGGTTCGCCGCCGACACGTCCACGCCCTCACCCCTCAGCGACAGGTAAGCCCCCAGAACGCCAAGGGCGATGGCACAACCGAGACTAGCCGCCAACAGCAAGGGCCGCCTGCCCGTCCTCTCGACGCACAGTGCCGAGGCCACCCCCGACGCCAGACCCACCCCGGACACGATGATCGTCGCCACGTCCGGACCAATACCTATCCCCGCGTCACCAAACATCTGCTCCAGGTACTGCATCGTGCTGAAGTTGCCGCTCAACTGCTGGCCCAGGACCAGGACCATCACGATCAGCAGTGCCCTCCTGTTTGTAGGTTCGAGCAGTAGATGGACGTTGGCGAAGCTGAACTCGAGGTGGCCGGTGTCCTCGCCCATGTCGTAGCGCACGTCGGCCAACTCCTCGGCCAACTCGCTCGGTTCATCGATCCCCTTGAAGAAGCCAATGGCCTTCTTGGCTTCCTCGTCCCTGCCCTGGGTCGCGAGCCAGTAGGGGCTCTCGGGGAACCAGACGAAGGTGGCGACGAACAGCACCGGCACGGCCATGAGGACGTAGACGAGGACGTGGTAGGACGTGTACGGGCCAACGCTGCAGGCTAGTAGGGAGCCGGTGAAGACGTTGACGGCTACGAGGCTGCCAACGGCACCGCGGATGCCCACGTCCACCACCTCCGAGACGTACATGGGGCTGGCGGTGTAGGACATGCCCACGCCGAAGCCGAGGATGACTCGCGCTGCGTACAAGTGCCAGGCGTTTTGGGCGAAGGTGACGAGCAGCCAGCCCAGGGTGTAGAACAGGGAGGTCTGGAGTAGGCATGGTCGGCGACCGAGGCTGAAATCAGAGTGGGTTGGTGGGGGGATTTCTCGAGTTTGGGAAGTTTGGTCATCTTACGTCGCGGCCACGTAGACGCCGTAGAAGGGGCCGAGCATAGAGCCAATTGCAGTGATGGAAATGACCCAGGACGACTCGTCCGAGGTTAGGTGCAGGGGAACCTCGCCATTGTGGGTGCTGGAGTTGCCGGTCAGGTGTGGGATCGTTGTGGTGGTCCAGCCGTAAACGGTGCCCACTGACACCATCGACAGGGTGGCTGGAAAATGCCGTTGGTGAATTTTTTTTTTTTTTTTTCTTTTAAACGCTTGGGAGCAAGGATCTGAGTGACATCTTTATTTTAGGCGCAAAATACAGCTATCTTTGGGCTTTTTTTCGCACCAAAAACTGAGATGGCTTCCACTTGCCTCCAAGCGTCGATCTACATCACTTACTCTGTGGGATCCTGATCACAGTCAGGCCTGGATTAAAATAGTGTACAAATATATTGTATTTTTTAATTACATGATTTTTTTTTTACTGTGATTGATTTGAATCTATTTTTAGCATTGTTCTTTTTTTCATTTTTAAAATAAGTAACGCAACAATGAAACATAAACTAACTTTTTTTCTTTCTCCAAACGTATTGTAATAACGTTTTCATGGATTTAAAAACATAATGTCGAAAAAAATGTATCAAATTACTTGGAACGAGACGTAAAAACTGTTTTGTATATTTTGCCTTTCCGGTGCAGTTTTTTTTTTTTTTTGCTACGAACATAATACACGGGCTATTCGTACGGGCGATGTAAAATGAAAAAACACGTTTCACGAACATCGAGAAAACTGCAACGATGGATACATTACAAGAGAAAAAGGGAAAAAAGCTTCTACAACGTAAAAAGGGCGATGCTGGTGTACAGCTTCCAGTCGTTTACTTTTCAGCCCAGTTCTCGGTGTGCCGGCGATGTTTGACTTGCGACGGAAAATAGGACAAGGCAAAGCATGCGCGCAAAACTCGCTCGTCCCGTTATAGGCACTGTTGTCGCAGAGCACCCGAAAATCATTACGCAAAGTTGGTAGGTCGCGCTTTAAAGCATTACTCTCGCTTGTGTACCTATAAGTATGTAGGTATGTATACGTACGCGGGTTTGAACGGAACTACAGCCACGCGAAAGTTTTAACTTTATTTCGTACGTATCGCGTTTTATGAAATGAGTCCCGCTTCGAGATGGCAAAAGTTGCGCCGTAAACAGAATTCGTAACGACACTTGGGTACACCCTAAAGTTACGAATGCACTTATGAATGAAGATATGTAAGTTACGTCGCTCTTGTTGTTGTACAGTAACCCACGAATTGTCTTGCAAAACATGAAATGAATATTCAAGTTTTCGTACCGGATAGACAGGCTGCCCATTGTTTCCACTGGCTCCTCTTCTGGATCCCAGATCCAACCGGTGCAGTTGTATCCATTCTATTTTTTTTTTTCCGGGATCTCAGTTTTTCAACCCATTTAACTAAAACTTCAAAGTGAGAGTTTATACCTCATTGACAGTTGATGAAATTGTTAATAAAAATGTCTCAACACCGTTGGAAAGTAACAACAGTAACTGGATGATTATTTATCAATGCGCACAGACTCTTGCATCATTTCGATATCAATCACCAAGAAATTTACGCCGATTTGTTAATCACTAAATCATATATAAATAAATATAAAAACCACAATTATACATTATCACCGTAAACTGCAAAGGAGTCTTCCTAAACCTCAGCACAATTAAACGTGATATTGTTTTTGGACGAAATCATCAACGAGCGCAGCACCGTGTACGAATGAAATACCGATTTTCAGAGATCGGCGTCATATTATGTATTAAAAAAATTCACCTTCGAAGCAGCACGACTAAAATATTTCTCACACTCAACTCCGCGAGAGTGATCTAAACTCCCTCGAGTCGATGAACAGTTGGACGCACGACGCGTTAACCGCGAGCCCGACAATTAACTCGCATCCGAACGAATTGTATCTCGTTGTCGGACTTCTCGGGCGCAAATGCATAGAGTACACGCATCGATCAATCAGTGGAGTGGGGGAATCGTATTCCCCACTTTGTAAGAACTACGAACACGCGAGGGCCTACCAACGATAGACGTCTATAGTGTAGTCGATCGGTTTGTAGATTAGATAAGTCCGGAAAAGCTCAAACGTCATATTTGACTTGACTTATCGTTCAAAAATACATCTCGTGTGCATACGACATATTATATCACAGAATATCATATAATGCTCACATAAAGTCAAAGTTCACAGTGATGACCCGTTTTTACGCAATTTATAGTGACGTACCGATGAAACGTACCTATACGTAACTTTGTTGTTTTAATCACTCTCCACCGGGCTTTTTTTGTATTTGGTCATTTGTCCTTGTGAGACTGGCCTTGTAATTGAGCTGTCCGCGCCAGCACGTGCCTCGAGAGGCGCGGATTACGAGGCACGCGAGTGTCGCGCGAGATTGGCGGTTGCTCGGGGAGAGGTGGGGAATCTTCGGATCGGCTCGCGTGCCTTGAATTTCACCTGGGAGAGATGCCTTTCGGGTGTAGGGCTGCGCTAGGGTTCTCAAAACGCCTGAGATAGCCGTCGCCGTTGGTCCGAATTTTCCAGTCGAGAGGTTTTGAGACGAGATATTTTCGCAAATGCGAAATTCACGTGAAAAGCAGTACATGTCCAGCCGTTTCTTTCCTCCGTTCTATTCGGTGGCTACTAGTTGACACTAAGCTGTATAGTACAACTAAAACAAGTTTTGCACGAGCCTGATGAAATTTTTTTTTCTCGTTTATTTGAACGTTTATCAGTATTTTTTAAGGAAATGAATCTGGACTTGGGAGGTACAGTTTGTCGTAACAGGACCAACTGTTAACCCAACATTAAGGAAAAATTTCATTCTTAAACATTACTCAAGTCACTCATTCATGGGTAAGTTGTCCAATTTAACAATGTATACTAACGTACAAAGTTTGGTAATAAAATTAGTCAAGACAATTTTTTCCAAAATATATGATAAACACGTTTTATTTTTCATCTTTATTCGCAAAATTGAATATCAACTGTGACACTAGTCTTGTTTTATTATTAATATATTAATACATCATGGAATTGTCATTTCAATGTATTATACCGAGCAGCCCATCGGTTCATCGATCCCCTTGAAGAAGCCAATGGCCTTCTTGGCTTCCTCGTCCCTGCCCTGGGTCGCGAGCCAGTAGGGGCTCTCGGGGAACCAGATGAAGGTGGCGACGAACAGCACCGGCACGGCCATGAGGACGTAGACGAGGACGTGGTAGGACGTGTACGGGCCAACGCTGCAGGCTAGTAGGGAGCCGGTGAAGACGTTGACGGCTATGATGGTGCTGAGCGCGCCGCGGATGTTGGTGTCGGCTATCTCCGAGACGTACATGGGATTGGCGGAGTAGGACATGCCGACGCCGATCCCGTGGATGACTCGCGCGACGTACAAGTACCAGGCGTTTTGGGCGAAGGCGATCAGCATCCAGCCCACGATGTAGAACACGGGAGTCTGGAGTAGACTGTATTTGCGGCCGTAGCTGGAACATTGGATCGGCGTTTTTCAGTACAATTTCAGTGTTTGTGGGTTGCGTGGGTATGGTATACTCACATGGCGGAAAAGTAAGCTTCGTAGAACGGGCCGATGACCGAGCCTAAGTAGGTTATCGAGTAGACCAGCGAGGCCTCGGCACTTGTAAGGGGCACTGCGCGATCTGTCATATTCACGTTTGTCAAGCGCGGTATGGTTGTGGTCGACCAGCCATACACGGTGCCTACGGCGACCATCGACAAAGTAGCTAAGAGACACAATTTAAAATAAACGTTATTAGGACAATAGGTTTTAGATGCGTTTTTTTAAATGTTTTCTTTTACATTTGGAATAATGTCCGTGTGGACAAGCTGTGATTTTTTATGAGAAATCCTACTCGGAGTATGACTATAAAGAGTGAAAAAAAAAGGTTTTTGTAGAGGCATGTGGCAATTACAAGAGCTTTAAGAAAAAATAGAGGAGAAAAGGATTCTCGGGAATGCGAGTCGAAAAAAGGTCACAGGGTTACATTAAAGCGCGAAATACTCGAGTGCGTCACGTGGATACACAAAAAGGTCAAGAGAGACGCGTTTAAATGGATAGGAATAGAAAACTTGTAGGGGGAATAGATAATAGAAAACGAGCTTTCGATACGGTCTCTGTCGTTGCATTCAAAACCAAATTGCTTTGTCGAAAAAGTGTGGACTTTGATTTTCGAGGAATATGTTACGAATTCAGGCAGGTAAAACGTATGGGCCAAATTTCAATGCTAAATGGCACTTTCGAATATTGTAATATTGTTAATGTATTAGCTCAATTCTACTTGAAGAGGCTTATTTCGTATCGGAAGAAAAAACGATTTAAATTACATATTTCCTCTAGCCGAAATATGACTTTGAGTAGCGCTGTATGATATCCAATTATGAAAAGGGGAACAACGATTGCATTCATTAAATTAAAAGATACACATGTACAAACAACTAAATGAAAATACAAATACCGTGTTGTAAATTTAACCGTTTCTGATTACAAAGAAATCAATTGTCATTTTAACTTCGGGAATATGATAAAATTCGTCGATACGAGTATCATATATGTCAGTAAATCAGAACAGCGCCATAAGGTGATTGATACAAGACATATCTAGTTAATAAAAGAATCATGAGCAGCATTTAAATTTAATTCAAAGGGTTTTTCACCGTGGGAGGATCCAGAGGCGACGCTCAATTGAATATTGAAATGCACCGACACCACCGACTGACCAATGAATAACTTACCTGAAAAGCAGGCCGCCCATTGTTTGTACTGGGATGATGTGTTCTTTTTGTTCTCCTTGGGAGGATCTTCTATCGGACACTCCTCCTTCATGTTGCTCAGTAACTACAATCAAATTTGAAATTTTATTGTTTAAAAGTTATTCTTTTGTTTCTTCTTACGATGTGTTAATAGTAGTTTTTCGTCACAGAAGCGCTATCACCACGGGGCTATTTTGCGGCCCAAAGGATGCTAGGGTAGCCCTGGTTGAATGGCGTTTGTGTGCCGAACACTATACTTTTACTACCGAGAACGCAGTAAATGTCCCAATGTCACAAAAAACGCCCAAAGTACGGAAAAAAATCCCGTAGCGATGGCACTTCCATGACAAAAAACAATATTTTCTACCATGGGTAAACTACCATGGGTTTTTAAACTTTTGACGTTTACTGTGCCCTCGGTGGGAAAAAATCTTTTTGCACCTGGTCCGCATCGAAGCAGAGCAAGCACAAGGAGTCCCTCCGACCGAGTGATCATATCTATACTGAGAAAAAAAAAATAATAATAATAGTTATAGATAAATTACCATTCTGAACAGTAAATCGGATGTAAGGTGGCAAAAAAATAAAAAATAATTATTTTTATCCGTAAAGATTATTGTTTTAACAGTAAAAAGTAATTTTGGTTACCATTTTGGAGTAAAAATTACCATTTTGGAACACTAAATCTTAAAAGGATCGGTTGATAAATTTTACTTTCCTGCATAAAAATTTTTCCTGTTCTAATCATAATAACAATTAAAACAATAATTTTTACTGTTAAAAATAATAACTTTTCTCTTTTTTGCCAGCTTACATCCGATTTACTATGCAGAATGGTAATTTTTGCTGAAATTTTCCAATAAATTTTATTATTTTTTTTTCTCTCAGTTTAAGAGCTATATTTCCAACAAAAATCATAATAAAACTAAAATACGCATCTGAAAACTTGGTTGATTGTTGTACAATAAAAAAAAAAAAAGGAAAAATAATTTGTTGCTAACGCGAAGGAATGTTATCCATTCTTATCGCGAGATAAGAAATAATTTTTCATCACCGCAAATAGTAACTACACCCGTTAACGAATCATTCCTCGATTATTACTACAAAAAACGTTTTATTTAAATTTATGGATTCGTCATCGTGAATTTAGGAGCAATAAAGACACCAAGCCCATTCCTTGAAATTTCAACTTGAAGAAAAAAAAATCCTTATCACCTCGCGTAATTCAAGCGCGACCCCCAAACGCATCTCACTCTTGTCAATTGCAGTTTGAGAACCATCGTCTCACGCATTCACGCAGCTGATGCTTCATGATTGGTACCACAGACAAAATTCCCATGAGTCTACCATCACTTCACGAAAATTCCCCAAGAATATCTGCGCGCGAAGTTCAAAAGACGCGGCAAGCAATCGTACGCGTAAACTCAAACGCGTTAGGTATATATCTGGATCGGCACCACAACTATTGCACCAACAAACGTCACGGAAAAAACTAGCGCGCCGAAGCTGGATAACCGATTGCGCGCGCACTTTGTACTTAAAAAAGCTGATGCCGCACATTGCGTCGCACAACGTGCAAGCACGAGCACATGGCACTTGCGCTCCGTTCTTGCCGGGGCGAAGGGAGGCCCGGGGGGTAGGAAAGCACAGTGGCGCGCGCAAGCTTGGGACGAAAGCTCGAATCGATGAGGCGTGAAAAAGAAAAAAAGTTACCAAATTATCCGTAGCCTCCATGGCACGAGACCTCGGCTGTAAGCTCAGCCGACGCTGTCCGTGCCGACACTTGCTGCGCACCGACGCTCATCTACACAATGCACTCACGGTACATACATCGTACACCTACGCCTCGAGCGCAAACTGAAACGCATTACTGTTACTCATGCTTCGACTATATACATTTTTTTTTCTTTTCTGCACTATATTCCTTCTTTTTTTTTTTTTCTTTTTTTTTCACTCATCTTTCTCTTGCTCGCTTCCACGCTCGTGAACGCGCGCTATCGGCGAGGAGGGAAGTGTCGAAGCAGCGCAAGCGCCACTACACCGCTACTAATCTTTTGCAAACTTCTCTTATTGTACGTTAAATGTATTATATCATACGTATAAATATAGGCACACAAGTGAATGTTTCTACAAGTGCGCTTGTACATGTGATGTGTGCACGCGAAAAATGAAAATACAGACAGGCGTATCAATTACCCGATAACGCTGTAACTCCAATTTTTCTGAGCTCGTACTTATACGTATAGTACACCATCATCCCTACTCTCCTTTTTTTTTATTCTAGACGCTTCCCACCTCCGTGTGAATATAATATAGACGTGCTGTCGCCGCTGACTTCGCGAGTGTTTATCGACGACGATGACGTGCGTATGTGCTCGCTGCAGTGGAGTGTGTGGTATATTGCGTGTCAGATTCGTTTAAAATTGGAAATTTAAGGGACTCGGTTTTCCACGAGGGCTGCTTTGGAAAAATTTTTTTTCACCGCCGATAGATAGATCGATTTGGGAACGGGCTCGATCGTTCAACGTTTTTTAAAAATTAAAATGTTTTTTTTTTTTCTTTTTTATTTACCATTAAAGTATAATGGAATGGTCGCAATGACGCGGTCGCCGTGATTTGGGACAATTGGTGGAACGGAAAAATAATTAATCAGGATTTTTGGCTTCACTTCCGCATTTGTATATATTAAGACGATGCAGATTCACGCGAGTGAGTGTTTGTCAACTGTATTTGTTCATGTTATCGGTCACAGAGGGTATATAATAAATCACGGATATCTCGATCAAAGAAAGAGCTGTTTCGGTTTTGCTGAGCGAAAATTTATTTTTCAAAAAATTATTAGCATTGGATAAACGTTGTAATTGTTGCAAACATACATACCACTTGTGGTAGATAAGTAAATCTGTACCAAAGACTTTATCAAACAAAATTTTTTTTTTTTTTTTTTCATAAGGATTAGTTAATTACAAATTTTGTTATAACAGGTGCTGTTTTGGTATAGTTGCTTAAATAAACTGACGAAAGCGAGCCGTTCGTACTGTACGTGTTGGGAAAAATTCGAAGAACCCCCTCGCAGTCGTAAAAATGGCATCACTTTCGAAAAATATTTTCTTCCTCGTGCCTGCAGCCTAGAAAGTGAGCTTACAGCCCTTGGCTTCGCCTCGGACGATAACGAACGGGCCAGATAGGACTTTCTTTTCTATACTTTTCCGTGATATTTTATACGTTTGCTACACCCTCGTGTGAGGAAATTTACTATCATCTGAACTTTTGGTTATCAGTACAACGTTTTCCTATGTATGGTATTTAAATTTATCTCAAAGCGAAAGAACAGTTTTCTAGTTTCATTGTTCAACAAGATAATTGTGAAACCGAGATGATACATATTTTCTGAAATACATATCTTTTCTCAGCAAACGTACATAGTTTACAAAAAAAAAAAAAAAAAAAAAAAAAAAAAAAAAANAAAAAAAAAAAAAAAAAAAAAAAAAAAAAAAAAAAAAAAAAAAAAAAAAAAAAAAGTCAAGTATCCGTAAAACATATAAAAAGTACATGCATGTAGTGACTATTGAATCTCTACTGCTCTGACGTAAGCAAGAGAAATCACCTCGACCCTTTACAAAAATCGTAAAAGAGAACGTAGGTATATTAAGACGAACAAAAAAGTGCATGTGAAAAGAACGAGATTACCTTGAAAAATCTGGAGAGTCTGCAAATCGCGTGGAAATATTTAATGCGGTACGCTCAGCTCTGCGCGAAGAAATCGGTCTCGCGATCGGCAGCACAGCTCATTATTCTTCGACGTCCCTTTGGAAGTAGAGATCGCAGTCCCCGGCGACAGTCCTGTGGTCCCGCGCGATTTACTTGACTCTGGAAACTCGGCGGTCGACTGGACGGTGCATCAATGCCGATTTCTTATTTTCACTCCAAGCCAAATATACATATATATACCAAACACACGAGGCGCAAAGATGAAAATTCCGATGTAATGAATTTGAGTGGCTGAAACAAGTCCCCATCCGTCGAACAAACGCCGTAACTTTCGGTCAATTGGCCTCAAAGTCGTTTGCTACTTAATTGCTCCGATACGACCTGCCGGGAGGGGAGACCGAGAAAGACAAGGTGGGATGCTTCGTCGACGGTTATCGGATATTTACTAATTTGTGCGTCTACAGCCACTGTTTCGGCTTTTCCATGTGTATACGCATGTGGGTGTGGTGTCGCGCATCTTCGTTCCACCATGAATTAAGTAGATTTTGTTTGACAAGGTTTTACGTATAGGATTTTGGAATTTAACAACAATTTACTTTAAAAGTTTATCGTTGGCTCAAGGCGATAAGAAATCGTGCTTGACCGATTTTATCAGCGACGGAGCCATCGGCTAAACAAAACTTTTCCACGTACTTTCATCAACAATTTTACTCGCTATAAATTTTTTCCCAAGTATTTTTGATTCATGCAATCAAACTTTTTATCGAGCAAATTTATGTATACCTTAACTCTTAATTATTAGTCTTTATTATAAAATGATCATTATGAAACAATATGAACTTTTGGCGTAGAAGAAAAACTAATTAAATAAAAATTAAAAAAATAAATAAACCAAACAATAATACGGCTCATTTCCTTTGGCTCTCTAAAATAAAAGCTTTCGACATCTAGGACTAGCCGCAATCTAGCCCCTCTCGTGCAGGGATAAAAACGAAGATCAACAGAGATCGGATATCTATATTTTTGAAAAAAAAAGGAAAAAAAATCACAGAATTTTTTTTACTTTTTAGAAAACTGGCATCTATCCTCGCCTTGGATGCATGTATACGATTTAATAATATCTACTTCGACGCCAAGGTATTTATCGGCACCGCTTAAAATTCCTATACGTAAAATGCTCCAGGAGCGAAAAATTCTTTTATCGACCAAGCGTGTACTGTTAATGACTGCGTTTGGTTTAGTTGAAAAGATAAATTTAAAAAATCAGAGAATACCGGCCACCTGTATTTTTAAAATTTACCGAACCTACGAAATTTTTAAACTTTTAATAGACAATTGCTAAAGCCTTAAACCAGCGCTCACAGATAAAAATCAGAGCTTCTTTTGTATCTGATTAACTCTTTCTCAAAAGGTTTTTATCTGACAACGCTTCTAATTTTTAACGTTTGGTTTATAACATGGACTTTTAAATGACAACAAGCTTTGAAAATATTATGAAGTAAAATACCTACTTATGAAATACAAAAATGTTATCGACCGTTGTCGTTCCTTTAGCGTGACTCATGTTCTATAATAATTTAAAAAAAAAAAAAAAAAAAAAAAAAAAAAAANTTTTAAAAAAAAAAAAAACAATAATATTTCGACACACGAGTGATTACAATAATAGCCAGTCATTGTTTACAACCACTCGAGGTATACATACACGGCAAAACAGGCAATAATCGTCATGCAAATAAGGAAGATTTTTCGCGGGAGTCAACTACAGCAGGCACACGCGAACATACGCGTGCAGCTGATGATTTACAATGCAGTGGTGAGAAATGATGGGCCGGGAGGGAGGAGGATCTCGCGGCTTGCACGAGCAATCAAATTATGCACTGGATGAGATTTATTCGTTCGCGTTCCCGCTCGCGAATTGTCTCTCGGCGCCGTTTGATTCTGCAAGTGAGTTCCTGGCACTTTGGTTCGACCTGATACTGTTGTGTTTTATTGAATCACAGCTGTATAATTTTTAGAGCTTCAAGCACCTACTCTGGATTTTAGTGATCTTCAAGTTCAACGAAAGCAGCATTACCGTGAATAATTTCCAATAATTAATCCTCCCGATATACGCATCTCCAGTGAGACGTTTTATTAAAGTAGATATTTTCTAGTTGCTTTTTAAAAATCTGTGTAAAACCTTATTTTTTGTCGTAAAAAATCAAAGCATGTATTTTAGGAAAGGTATGTAGGTACGCGAGTGTGTGAGTTCCGTGTACGATAAGTTATATCTCAAGTTTCCTGAAATCAATTTTTTTTTTTTTTAACTGATATCAAACGACAATTCTTCATATTTTTTAAAAAAACCTTTAAACTATTTTGTCTAGGCTTTTTTAAATTAACCTTGTCCTTGTTGGTGATCCAATTAAATTTTAATGTATAAATAATTACTGAGTTTGTTGTGATTCGTCAAGATAGAAAAATGTAATGAATAAATGAAAATCTTACGTTATTTACATATAAAAATAGATACGTAAACTAATTTGTAAATAAATCAATTGGGAAGAACAAAAATATACGAAACGATGATTCGATGCAACAAAATAGGGGTTGTATATTTATGTAAGCTCTAATTTTCGACATAACAATGTAAAGGAGAAATATCCGGATTTCAGTAAAGCTCGATGAAATAACCATGTTAAATTAAATTAAATTAATATTAATACCAAACGGCCATGTTAACATAAAAATTTGATAGGCTGAGGTGTGATACTTGATGTAGTTTATTAAACTACATAGACCAAGTTGGCACATCTGTTAAATTAATGTTTTACTTTCGTACCTGAAATCTTACTACTATTATTCGGTGATCATGTAAAATATTTTTTCTCACTAATAAGCAAGTAGCATAATCACATCAAAGTTGAAGAATGTTTTTCGTAGGATTTATATAACCTGAGCGAAAATTTTGACGTGTCTGTAAAATATTTAAAAAAAGTTATTGTCAAGAATAAAAGACTAAAAATAAATTAAATACTATTACTAAGTATTTATTTGTATTAACATATCATAAATTATTTTTAAAATATTAATTTTTTTTCACGTTTTCAGTCGTTTAGCGGATCGTTAGATACTTATATTTTAAGTAAAAGTAATGTCTTATTAATGATGATTAGAAAATGAAATAAAATTTTGAAAAATCAATTAAACGAAACGAGGCTCAAAACGATAGGGGAATCGTACATTCTACAATTAAACTTATATATTTGATCTCTATGTTTTAGTATATTCTACGAATACTTCAAATTATAATAAACACGTACGACATGGCGTACATGATAGCCCCAGGAAAAATATTCGTACCAGCAAATGGAATGTAGTAAGCACATTAAGAATATCAAAAAGATCAGAAAAGCCAATCAAAAATTTAGCTACTATTGGATTCAACAACTTTTTTTTATGCTCGAATATTGTTAACAATATATGTATAAGGTATAATGTATAACTCGTACGAATATGAGACTTGTACCTTCACAGTTTTTTTTACCTACTTTATCTATTGAACCTTTCTTCAAAAAATTTTCTAATCTAACGTATTAAAAAAAATTATTCCTTTCGATTGTAGAAGACAACTTTTTTTGGAATCAACTCGAGTCGTAATCCAGAAATTAATATTCAGCATATTGCAAGTCGATACTTCCGAATCTTTTAAACGTTAACGGTGATATAGTCGTGTATGGGCTTCGTAACTGAACCTTATTTGGATGTAAAACCCACGAGCCCAGCCAATGCCCCTTGAAATCTCTTGAATAGACAAAAATTACAAAAATCGAGATTTTCCATCGTTTTTCCCACTTAAAATCAATCATACCGACCAACCAAACAAAAATAATTTGAGCAGCATCGCGTACACGAGAGAAGCCAGAAAGTTGTCGACGCTGCTTCTGAAGTTGTGCCGTTCGGGACACGGACGGGCATTGTTAGTGACATACTTCCATGCAACAACTTGTACGCCACTGCAGTGGCTGCTGACATCCGAGAGAGATCTCGACTGCCGCGATACAATTAACTGTTTGGCAAATCGACGACGCCACGTATACAGTATTGCACGCTGCTAATGCCATATGCCGAGAACCGAAGTATCCCAGACGGGTGTAGAAGTATATCTGAGTCAAGTTGCTAGGTAACTTCGAAGCCCCTCGTTAAAATCGTTACTTCATTTTCGATCTCGAGTAACGAAGCGAACCTGTGTATCGATCCGCCCTTTGAAATTTCACCCAACTAGACGCGCGTTAATCAGCAGTTTTGAAGGATAAAAAAGTAAATAAATCCACATTAGCAGAGGATCAATGCCACGGGTGAAATTGCGCGGAAAAATCGGCCGTCAAAAGTGCCATACATAGGTTGTTCGCGCAATTTGCGTGACTCGTTCCCTATACGCGCGCCGTTGCATCAAAAGCTCCCGTTTAAACGTTAATCCCTGTGGCGGTACGCGAATTTCCGGTCACTGCTAACTGCCAACGAATTTCCAAACGAAGCTGGAGCTCTGGTGTGTTTCCACTCGTGATAAACATCATTTTTCGCTAAATGGCCCAAAATGGTCAGAGTCAATGCTATTAACAATTTTTGTTTTTTCCCCCCCTAAAGCAAAACTGGAAAATTTCATACTATTAATGTCCGACAAAATCGTTTTTTTTTTTTTATTTGCTACATATCAACAATCGAGCAATGCATTCGATAAAGCGTTTAACAAACACCGTCGGACCTTGGAATTTTGAAACGATAATTTTACTTTCATTTGACACGCGCCTCCCTGAGTCAAATCTCGTTCGATTTCTGCTACGAAATTTTGTGCTTAATCTTTTTGCTTGGGTTGGATAGCTAATTGCTGATTAAATGGGTTTTCGAAGCTTCCTTGATTGATGTTTCGTAGTAACTTGCCCCCCTAATTGATTTGTTTTAGGCGTTGTTGATCAATTGGTGTTTTTGTTTGTAACAAGATGTAAATTCATTTACAATAAAATCAATGAAAAATCATATGAATCAGATAAAAAAAATACCCATAGGAATTTTTTGCGCTTCGCTTGATAATGGCAATTGAAGGTATAGAAAACGCCGGTGGAAATTAGGAACGCCAATTTTTTTTACTTCCAGAACCGTGGCTTCCTTTTATATCCTTAATGAGCATTCAATGCCGTTCGTCACACACACTCGGACACGATAGTCTTTCTCCTCTTGATTCTTTTTACTGATCTCGTTTTCAGTACGAAAATATGACGTTGGAACTGGAAAGCTATTTCCATTTGTCAGCAACTGAATTCGCCATTAGTGAGTTGAAACGTATAAATGAGTCTTTATTTTGTTTTTAAATCATTTTTTCCTCTCGTTTGGCTCGTCACCTACATTCAGTGGCTGCTACAGAAGCAACTCTTTTCCAGTGAAACCGTTTTATGTCCTACAGATGAAACTGAGATGAAAATTATATAGATTCTGGAAATGGAAAATTTTTAATGGACAAATGATTAAACTAAAAATAGATGAAAATGTCAATATTTAATTAATTAAATAAGTTCTGCATTTTACAAAGCAATAAGTTACATAAGTATTCTCAATTAAGACAATTAAACAACTAATATAAAGTCTTTATAATTCTTTTATACATAAAAATAAAGTCGTACATCTAAAACGATTCCCGATGAACATTCATGATTTCATAATAATAACACCGTTGTATCGCACGTTTTCACGTACGTGAATTACGTGACTTTTTTCCGCAAGACAAAAGCGCACGGTTTTCGTTTTTCTTGAAAAACGTACGATGATTAATTGATTGCGTTATTTGCCTTTATCCCGACTAAAAAGTAAAACAGGCCTTCAACTGAGATTCCGAAAATTTAAAAAAGAGCTCTTACATTTTACGGTTTATAATGTAATAATTGCTTCGTGAAACTGGATAAAAAAAAAAATTAAAAAAAAAAAAAAAGAACAAAAAACTATCATTACTGTTATTGTTATTCGTGAATTTTTTAAAACTTGATAAGGCTCAAATGTTGCTCTTCGTGATTTTTATTCCCTGTCTTTTTGATCATAGATTATAGTTAATTATTGCCTTAGCACAACGGAGTTTGTAGGTCTTGACTGCACCATCGCGCTGAAATCTAGAGAAAACTGTTCCTTAACACCTGGAAGACGCTGGAAGGTCGACGTTTGACGAACGAGGACTCATCCCACCTTTGAAGAGCGCTAGCACCAAAATTGTTTGATTTTCGACAGTACAAGCATTGTTCCCTATTGTCTCCGTTCATAGGCATTGTTAATAAGTTTTTTTTTTTTTTTTTCCCTTCACATGGCTTGTGTCGATAAAAATGCTAACATTTATAACAAGTGATCGACCACGACATTACAGTAGCGTATTAAACAGCTGACTCACAGTAATTATTGTTACTATATGTAAAGAAAAGTATGCGCTCCCGCACACTTGGTTAGAAATTAAGGCTAATCTTGCTTTTTTTCTGATTTATCATTTTCGGTTAAACGCCGCAGTCTCACGCACCACTGCGCTCAGTCGATTTCTCAGAGTAAGACATTTCTCTTCGATACTCCCAGAAATATTCATGCTAGAGCCCTGTTTCATGCCTTGCTGACTTTTTCATCCTGAGACTCGTAGTCTGCCATCGATGTCGATCAGTCACTAAAACCATACAAAGTCCATCATTAACATAATAATTAGCCAAAAGCACGAGTTACTCAAGTAGATCGCCGTTAAAATACCTATCGCTGTTATCAGAGGTGCCCTCTTCACTGCAGTCGAGGTCAAGCTCGCCCTGGATTGCACTCTGCAGATCATCGACCCTCTGCAGAGCTAACCGTAGGTCATCCTTGACCACCTTGGTTTCGGCCTCAGCTGCTTCCAAGGATTTCTCCAGATCGCGACGCGCTCGCGTGGCCTCTTGCTCCCTGGCCGAGGCCGAGGCCGCCTCCTCGCGAACCTCGCGCAACGAGCGCTGCAATCTACGCGCCGCGTCCTGGGCGCTCTGCTCCTTCGTGCGCAACAGAGCGCTTTCGGACTGCAGTTTATCGACCGTCTCTTTCAGTCTCGCTATTTGCGTCTACAAACACGTGAAGGGATGATTAAATGAAAAATGTCGATGATTGTATGTAGTCAAATGTAGCCATCACTGACCTCTAAACGCGCCCTCGTCGTCTGCTCGAGCTCGAGCTTGCTTTCGAGTTCTTTGGTGCGGAACTCGAGACGCCTCGTCGCCAGGCTGTTTGCCGTGGGATCGCCGAGCTGCTCGACCGATTCGAGCCGCTGGCTAAGCTCCGACAGCTGATCCTTCAGCGACGATTTCTCAGCTTCGAGGGCAGCTATCTGCACCTGGGACTCCTGTAACTGCGCCTGCTCGGCCGACACTTGCTGAACGGCCGCGCGGTATTTCTTCAGCACCTGCATGGGGAAACAAAACCACTTCCATCAGATTCATTCTTTTTCATCGCAAACGTCAACCAATGACAAAAAGAAATTTACCTCGGCTAGTTCCTCTTCGTTCTCCTCGAGCTGGGATAGCAGCTCGGCTCGCTCTCGATTCGCCGTGTTCGCGCGGTCCTCGGCCTCGGAGCGCTGCCTCGACGCCTCCTCGAGGGCAGCCTGGGTCTCGCTCAGCTCCTGCTCGATCGCTTGCTTGGCCTTGACGGCCACGGTTCTGGCGCATTCGGCGTCCTCGAGTTGATTTTTCAAGTGGCGCAGAGCGGCCTTGCCCGTGGAGTCGCCCTTCGAGCGCTCGAGCATCATCTGGGCGTCCCTCAGCAGAGCTCGCGTTCTCTTTAGGTCGCGCTTCAGTCTAAAATGAAAACGCAAAAAGGGACAGAATTAATGATAAATTCGGAAGAAGCTCATTCGAAGAAATCACAAAGGGCTTTCATCCGACCTCTGCGTAGTCTCGGCCTCGACGGCACGGTCCGTCCTGTCTTGGTCCTCAATGGCCACGAGTCTACGCTCGAGCTCGTGCTTCTCCCTCAGGACGATCGTACGCTCCTCGTGCTCGTTCTCCAGCTGCTGCTCCAGAGCCTTGACCTTCTTCATGGCGCTGCCCCTGACGTCCTCGAGCTCCTCGTCCCGCTGCTGCATCTCCTTGCGCATCTCCTTGCGTTGCTGCTCTATACTCATCTCCAGGCGCAACTTGGCTTGCTCCAGTAACTGCACCTGGCCCGCGAGATCGTCCAGCTCCTCCTCCTGGTCTTTGACCTTTTTCTCCAGCTCGTGCTTGGCTTTCTTCAGCTGTGCCACTTCCTCCTCCGTTTTGCCCCCGAAGGTCAATTCCTCCAGCTCTTGGCTCAGCGTTTGCAGTCGCTCCTCCTTCAGTTCGATCTCCAACCTCGCGTCCTTCATTGGGAAAAAAATCGGCAATTTTTTTAGTGCTCCACCAAAAGAGCAGAGGAATCAAATGACCAAGTACTTACACTCAGGTTCTGCTCGATCGAGAACTTTTCTGCGATCGCGATTTCTTTCTCCCGTGCGAGTCTCTCGCGCGCGATTTTCTCCTGCCTCAAGTCGTCCATCAAATTTTGCGTCTCCGAATCAAATCTGCAATAATAATAATACATCAGTAATGAGCACGTGTGTTTCTTTTTCCATCATCGACGGAGCGCTGGTCGGCTCGTTCAATTTGCGCAATCGATTGCCCCAACGAGAGCCAATACAGTCCATTTAACTCATCAAACCGTTTGCCCAAGTGATCGTAAAAGAGTGTTTTTTTTTTTTTTTTTTTTTTTTTAATTCGAAATTTGAGATAATCGATGAAATTGTACGGTTAGTTTTTGCAAACGCTCGTTCATCGCAAAGTCATTTGAGCGCGTATTTTCGTTCGATTTCAGAGTCAACGTCCTCCGCGAAGATTACACCGCTGGTTCTCTGAAAAAAAAAGGCCATCAAGCGTGGGAGTAGCGAAAAAAATAAACTGCAGCGCAAGGGAAGATCATCAACGGGGCTGGTGTAATCACGCGATCGTTGCACCGTCGAGAAGAAGAGACGAACGGAAAGAAGAGCGAAAAACACAGCGGCGTAAAGGCATAAAAAGCCAAAGGGGCGGCGAGCCACGGAGACATAAAGAGACGGAGACTCACTTCCGCTGCTTCTTCTCGAGCAAATTGTTCCTGGCTGTCTGCTCCTCGAGCAGGAGTCTCAGGTCGTGCATCTCCCCGTTGAGCTTCTGCACCCGCCTCTTCCACTGACCCACGACCTGGCGCTGCTCCTCAACTTCCTCGTAAGCGTCCGCCAACTGTGTACATGTACAGAAATTTTGTCTCATGATCATTGGCAGAAAAAAAAAAAAAAAAAAAAAAAAAAAAAAAAAAAAAAACATGGTTTATCGAGTACCAGTCAATGGTTCATCAAATTAAACTATAATTGCCGATGTTGCGGGTGATTACGTGCAATAACCTAAACCATCCGCATGAATGTTTTAGTCCTGATTGATTAGTTATGATTATCGTCACTGAACGCGATTTTCACCCCAAAAGCAGTATAACAAACGGGTGAAAAGAATGAAAAATAAAAAAAGGGGAGTCGTCCAAACCTTCTTCTCGAGCTGCTTCTTGAGCCCGACGAGCTGCTCGAGGTCGTCCTCGTGCTGTTGGGCCATCTTCCGCTTGGTGAACTCGAGCTCGCGCATCGCGTGCTGGTACCTCTGCTTGTAGACACCCGCGTCCTCGCCGTCCTCGGCGTCGGAGGCCAGCCCGTTGAGATCGGCCGCTCTGGCGTACAGCAACTCCATCTCCAGCCTCTCGGCTTGCTGCTGGAGGCTCTTGTTCGTCTCGCTCACGTCCTGGAGCTCGCGCTCCAGCCTCAGCCGCTCGGACTGCTCGGCGTCGATACGCTCCGCGGCCAGGGTCGACGTCGAGTGCTCCTCCGCGAAGTCGGCCGTCATCTCGCTCAGCTGTAAATTGACCAGTGGCCCGAGCACGTTAATTCCCTCCTCCTCGGCGCTACGCTTCATTATATACACATTTCACTCTGACGCAGCGCGATTCGCGCCCATCTTATCTCGCGCGGTGCGTCTCTTGTATACGTGTATACATACGCAAAGGTTTCCCCAATGAATTTAAATTGTAGACAAAAAGGGACCGGACTCTGCATGGAAATGCGCGTTTACGTTAATCTTGGGGATTTCAGCGCCCAGAACGAATTCTATTCAACTCCGGACCAAAAACAATCTGCCACGCGTCAAACATTCCAAACCAAAACAACATGTCCAGTTGTTAATTGAACACACACACGCTCGTCAAACGTTGGGCACTATTAGTATGGATGATTAATTGGTAAATAAAACACACTGAACTAGGCTTATGTTACATTTTACCCTCGTTTTGGTTAATGGCACCAATTATCGCACCAAGACTTGAAAAACAAAAAAACAAAAAAAAAAACAAAAAAAAAAGGAACCTTCTATCGCACGCGTAGCAAAAACCAAAAGGAAAATAAAATGGCACTCGCTGCAGCAACAACGCGTCCAAGGCAGAGGAGCATCTACCTCCTCGTCGCAGTGCGACAGAGTCCTATCCTCATCCTCCTCGTCCTCGTCCTCCTTGCCGCTGTCCTTGCGCGACAGCCTGGACGAGCAGCTGCCCGCCCGGCTGAAGTACTGGTAGCCCCTGATCAAGATGTTGGTCGCGCTCTTGCTCCGCGGCACCGGCCTCGAGATGTCCGGCGACTCGCAGCCCAGGCTCCTCGCGTCGTCGCCACCCTTGCTCAGCCGCTTCCACTCGTCCATGACGTGGTCGGTCCTCTGGAGGAAGCTCGATATCTTGGCCGAGAGGCACGAGGAGGCGGTCTGCGGCTCGAGGTGCGACGCGGTCGGTCGGAAGGACTGCCTGACCTTTTGCTTGTCGATGCCGAGGACAAAGTTGAGGCTGGCGTCGAAGACGACGGGTGCCTGCTCCCTCCTCGACAGCTCCTCCAGGTCGAGTTCCAGGTCCTCGGTGCTCGCCGCCTCTTGCGGGTAGACCCGCCTCGGGGTGGGCGAGCCGCAGCCGAGGGCTTTGCTGCTGCTGTTGGTCTGGATCGAGCAGAGCGAGGCCGAGCGCAGGTACAGGGGCAGCCTCGGGGACGGCGAGCGCGGGACCGTCAGGGTCGCCGAGTGCGGGCGAATCACGGCCACCTTAGAGCCGGCGGGACTCCGGGGGTAAAAGTGACTCGGGGGCAGCGGTGGCCGACGATTACTGATCAAACTGTTGTTGCTCAACACGTCCGAGTAGACGCTCCTGTCCAGGTGGAGACCCGGAGCCGGGGAGCTTTGCAGCGGGACGCAGTACGTTGTCGGGGCCAGCGGCATCTTCGATGACAATATCTTCGGCGGACGTTTGTTTGTTTGTTTGATCGATTGATCGTCTCTCTCTCAGTTCACCTCCTCGATTTTATTTAGTGGAGATTGTTACGGACATTTCGTAAGGGAGGATTCACCAACTCGTTGGGAGGACAGTGGGTTCACGACTATTCGTTACTGCACGTACTCGGTTCACAAGAGGGTCAAACAAAAAAGAGGACTCGGACGAAAACACTTGTGCCCCCCCAAATCACTTTTGGTCATATCGTGCACTTTTTGGTAACAGGGCAATTTGGTAAACTGTCCCCGACTCTTACAGCCATCGCGGGGTCGTCGAGCTCTTGTGGCCAAGGGAGTTGGGAAAATCAACACTCGTCTTATAGGAGCTCGAGTTGCATAAGACGAGGTGGTCCAACGTGCGAGAGGAGACACCCGAAAGAGGTACGAGCACCGGTGCAACTGCAGGCAGGCCGATAATCTTTTTCACTCCGGGGCTAGGTTCGCTTTGGCGGTGCTTGCCGAATCGCGGGATTAGAAAATGAGAGGAGGAAGGTGGCTTTGTAGCGCGCGCGTTAGAGGTGGTCACCTCGGGGTTATTCTGAGACGAGGAGCGGACGGCACACGGGTTTTGGAGCGCGGCCAACGTGGCTCTCTCTCTCTTTCGACGGGAGCCGAAAAACAAATAAAAATTACGACAAAGGGGCTCTCTGACGGGTTTGACGCGTTTTTGGCGTACATTGTAGGATATTTGCACCCGGTGGGAAGAAGAAAAGGATGATGATCCAATCTCTGGTTTTCCGAGATGTATGGGCTTACGCAAGCACACGTGTATACATGGGCGTTCGAGCTTGAAACCATATACAATAGCGGAATTTGTATTGTTGTGTAAGGTAAGAGCGCGAAGTTCACTCGTTTTCATTTTTTTTTTTTTTTTATGTAAATTGATTATAACGAAGAAAAATGTACACGAAACAATGGGGCATCGGCTCTTGAAGAGGATACATATATATATGTATTTGCGACGGTGAATGGCCCACATTTGGCGAGAGGAATCGGGAAAGCTGCTGGAGTTTTTATATGAAAAATAGTACAAGTGTATATCTATTGTTGGTCTTTCAAGAAATGAGTGAAATCGTCGGACAAAGATGATTTACGCGCGCGTGAGATCCCAGTACTTTTGTGAGTACATCTGATTTATTTATGATTTGTTTTTTCTACCTATGATTACCAGAGTCGCTGTTGTCAGTCGCTGTGAGAATGTGAATTTCATTGGGGTGATGATACGAATTCAATTGAGTCGAAAACACTCGTTAGAAGCGTACGCGTATTTGGGGTCAATCGAGAAACGAGTAAACGAAAAACGTGCGAGAGGCAATTTCGAGGAATCGAGCTAAATCCAAGGTTCGCTAAAAATAAGTCTCGACGACGATGATGGCTATAACCTCTTTACATTTAAAATCTAAAATAAATCAGCTGCCACAGCGTTACAGTTGGGCGGAAAAGTATTACGTGTGTGCCTACTTTCATGGTACATTACATTACACCCAGGTGTGTATGTGCCAGGGTAAAACGCAATTTATTTCAAATTTATTTCAAAGTCGTTCAACTTGCCGCGCGTATAACTGCGCAAATTGCTTCCGTAATTTAATTAACTTGTTCGACTACTAAAATTATGCTTCCACGTACACGTGAATCCGTATGTATTATCCGTTTCGTGGATGTAGCACCGATTGTACCCATACGCCATTCAATATCAAAGTTTCATTCATCTCGGTGTATATTTAATCAAACAATAGTGCAAGGGCTTACTGCAGAATATACGCAATTATCTACAGAAAAACCAGTCAAAATTTCTCCGTAGAATTAGGGAGACGATCAAGATGGAATTAATTCTCAAAACTCGTACACAGGCAATCAACCGAAATATCTATGATTCTCCCTCAGGTTAATCACCTCGCTGTCATTGTACCTACACACCGTATTTTTTTTTTTTTTTTTTTTTTGGAAACTGCACGCACAATCGGGTGACTCGACTCTCCCTGCAGCCAAAACCCATAGTTGTACATTCGCTTTAATTGTCTCCTCCACAATGGAGATTGCATGTGTAGTGTTGAGCATCGGTATACGTGGATAAGTAGCTCCGTACATGCGAACCGACTGCAGATCCGCGCGCCGGTGAATTTTACCGCACGAAACACGCGCTTTTCTCTAACGAGATCCATCTTCTCGGCGCTGTCGCTGTCTGTTCGCTTTAATTACGCCACGACGCGCCATACGTGCATCTGCGCGCTTTTCCCACGGGCCGCATTCCGCTCCGCGAATTTCTCGTCCAAGGCACATACATATCGTATCTACCCGTGTACTTAGATTACGGACTTTTAAAATTACACGCACGCGCGCCTTGTCCGTACCTCTTTGTACACCTGTACATGTGTACTTACACGCGTCAGTCGGCGGTTTTTGTTGTTGCCTCTTGTAGGTACTGTTTTTTCCGGGGTGTCGAACGACACAGGGAAGATCACAGTTTTAATTGAACGCCGTGTCGATCCCCTGGAGTGCATACAACATGAGCACTGTCATTTTCGCGCACCGCAATTAAGTTATTGTTCGGCGCGTGAGACGATGTTTCTTTTTTCCTTTTTTTTTTTTTTTTTTCGGGTCTGTTGCACCTACTCGTCATTTACCACTACTGCATCGAGAAAATAAGGTAGACCGTCCGAATGTAGGACAACTACTAGTGCAGAAATAAAATAAAAATCCCCATACCAGATGGAAGATATACTCATCGGAGGTGATGTTTGAGCTAGCCAGCAGGAGCTAGTATACGCGCACCTTGTTCCCCCGTATTGGCTCCGATCTCTTCGGATCGGCGGCTGTGCGTTCCGCGAATTTTCGACCCCCTTTTCGCGCTCCGAAACACTTTTGCATATAATTATTATACTCTCACGTGCATACAGCACGCGAGTGTTATACTTATATGCGCGTACGTATCGGCACTCGAGAGAAAGATACTGTATACGTGAACTATTCTTATGACAAAAAATCCGTGACGATCGGGATCGGTATACTTACCATTGGATACAGAGAAGAAATCGACCGTGAGAGGATTCGTTATCGCTAAAAGCGAAATAATTATGTTTACACTTGCGCCACTTATCGTAACTAATCGAATTTTCAATCATCAAGAGTCGAGGCACGTTGAGTTGGTATTTTTTTTATTTTTTTTGTTTTCATTCCTCAAACAAGTGAGTATACCAGATTCTTCAAATATCTTATTTATTGCCCAAAACGAATGACAAACAAGCCCGTGATGTATAACAATGAACGTCAACTCGATCCGAAACGCTCGGTGCAGTCGATCGACATATAGGTAAATATACAATGCTTGCCTACAGGTGAATAGTTTGAACGAGCCCGAATCAATGATAAACGCAAGAAAAAAGGAAGAACCGCATCAATGCAAACTGGTGCGCATAAATCTCGGTATCGTTAGTCGAGCATGCGGTCAAACGTGCGCGAAGAGAGGGAGGACTTTGGAAAAGAAATCGGATCCAGCGTTTTCCCACGAATCTCCATAAACATCTCTTTGCATCTATAGTGTACACGTAACATAAGCGAGCGCATTGGCTATGTACCCTATTTCTTTTTTTCTCCCTTTTTTCAGCGCTTCCACGCGGAAACTAACATACGCTCGCAGATCGGTAGTACGGGTTATACCTATACGTATACAGCGGCAGCTCGAAGGAAGGCCCCCTTGGAGGTAATTTCACTTGGTACAGGTATACGGACTCCGAGAGGGGCCGACTCGGCACGTGAATCCGGGTCAGTAGCAGAGATTTATGCGCGTGTGTGTACGGACACTGTAGGCGTATACTCGCACAAACCATGCACGAGCAAACGGTCAAGAGTTGCAGGTCCATTACGCGACGTGTGCGTGTATACAGGTATACCAGCTTCAACTTCATCTCGGGGATATACAAATTTTCGCTGTTGTTATGGTTGCAGGCGCTATTACTTAATAGATAGGCAGCGTGGCGAGTTGCGGGACAACTTTGCGCTAGTGCACTTAACCCGATTCTCGACGTTACGACGATTAGGGGCATGGGTGTACTTACGCGCATTCACGGTCACGCGCTGAGAGTATATATATATATGTGTAATGCTCTCACTCGCCTAGTATGGATTATATGTGTATCAGTGATGGACTAATAGATTGTCGGACCACTTGGTACTTTCCTATCGAGTGGTCCCAAAATGCCACGTGACATACATTCCAAGAATCAATTGCCCATTGTTGCACGTATATATTGAAGAATCATATATTATATAAAATGACAGATACTGCGGAGGCAATAAGGTCGCCTGCCGGGTTTGTATATAGTTATGTATAGGTATACGTGTGACTGTATCGTTAGGATTTTTAATTTGAAAATCGGCTTGGCAACGAGTGAGTTTTTGCTCCGCGGAAGGAACGTAAATCGAAAAATGCTGGAAACGAGCGCGAAATTGAAAAATCACGCACAGTGATATTCTCGAGAAACGATCGAGCCAACGGCTAATCGAGCAAAAAGCTCGCAGCTCATCAAGTCATCAAGCCACCTTGGGCTTTTGCGCGCATACTTGCACACACACGTATGTACATACACATCGGTACAGCCGGTAGGAACAAAGCTCGTTGGGTATGGCTTTTTTGCCCGCGTGCCTCTCTATATATAGGTACATCCTCGGAAATTAATAGCGACGATGCTGCGTCGGCGGCTCTCTGCTGCGGAGCTGTATGGCTTTTGCTCTTGTTTCTTGCACATGTGACTCTTGATCTGCTGCTGATGCGCGACAAACAGAAGAGGTCGACGGTGCCCGGTGATTGACTTTAACGATCGATTAATGACGCCGACGGCTGTACCAACGTGTACATGTACGTACAGAGGAGGTATTATATATCGGTGTACCTCGGAGCCGCCGAGTATCGTATTTTATAGCTTGGAGGTCTTAAAAACAATTTGCTGCGTAGGTCCTTTTGCGTTTGTCATATTTATCGATTGACGGGACTAAGGGATGCTGTATACTCTGTGTGTCATTTTAGCGAGGCGTATATAAATATTTAGATAATATTCAACGATATGAGAGGCATCTGCAGGTGATGAAATCGTCCCACGCAACAGCTCTGTTAATACGCAGATATGTCTATAAGCACATAGATGTGGGATTTAAAAAATGTAAAAAAAAAAAAGGGAAAATTGCAAGTGAAACGACGTAGGCGCTGACGAGCGAAAAAACGGATCGGACGTGAGTTTTCTCATGGAGATAAGGGGGCAGGAGAACCCGTTTAGCATCTTTAAGCGCGTCCTCCTTCGAGACGATGCAAAAAGACGACGCTGGCGGCGAAGACGGAGGGTTTCAAGGTTACACGGCGCCTGTAAAACTCTCACATATATACAGCCGCGGCACCTTTTGCACCTCCCTGACCAAAAGTCGTATTTATACCGGCTCGTTACGGTAACACGGCTAAATTATTCGTCTATTTGTACTATTGCCAGAAAATTTTCATTAGATAACATCGAAAAACACGATTCCGTCATCTGCGCTGAGTTTATCGGCCACAGGGATGTAATGCACCTACACTACGTCATCTGTATATCCGCGGCAAGAACATTTTATTGACTGCACTCGCAAGATGTATACTTCCCATATCATTAGTGGCGCCTCAACAGTACTAAACCTCGGAGGTTGCGGTTTGGTCGGCAAATTGCGCTACGCGCTGCAAAAAATTTCTCTCGATGTGCGCAAAATGACTCGGTATGCGCGCTACTGTACTCCAACTCATACATGTTATGGTTCGTCTCGTGCCGGCGACTCGCAATTATACACAGAGAGGCACCGTCTTCGGTCGCACGGCAGCTTGACCACATAATATATGTATAATCGACGCGGTGTCTATTAATTTTCGCCCCGAGCGCTCGCCGCGCGAAAGTGCAAGTTTAACCGTCGATTTTACATATATATATATACAATATATGCTCGATGCGCGGGAGTGTTGAACGGAGGAGGTGTACGTATTACCAGTACACCCTGTAGGCACGCCGATGGAGATACGCATCTGGCGAGATCGCAGATAAGGGACGGCGCGCGATCCCTGATTTGCAATTTGCAAGTCACCGAGCTCGGTGCAATTAACTTTTCCTCGCGGACCTAAATGGCCGCAAATTAAATCACGAGCGATGCTTGATTTTTGTTGTCCCCCAAGCTGCGGCTGACGCGCGTGCGGACGGAAGGGCACGTATTTTTAGAGCTGAAAAGAAAAGAAGCTCGCGTCAGGAGGAATCGGGATAATTTTCCGATCGGACCCCAAGCGCGCTTGGTTGAAAAAAAAAAAAACAAAAAAAAAACGAGAAAGATCCAACGTCTGGATTCCCCTCTTGGGACTCGATGAAAAATCTCCCGGCTTTTCTCCTTGCCGCCCCCCAAAGGGGGTACAATGGGACACTTTTTTCGCAAAGGGGAGGTGGTGGAGCGAGATATCTCTTATACCCCCCGCCCCTCCTCCCACTTGCATCCGCCAAGTGCGCCAAGGTAGCAGCCACCACATTCCAAAGATTTCGCTCGCGCGGCGCACAATAGAGGTAGTAGATGCGACCGGCCGATTGTATACCTACGCTATACACGTACATGCATATACGAACACACATGAGAGCGATGCTCTAAAACGGTCGACTAAAAGGGTAGATGCTGCTACTGCAAGGTCAGCGCATTCACATCGAATTACTGCCGTGCAGCCGAAGAAAAGAGAGAGAGAGAGAGGATCGCCGAGGAGGTATTTTCTCTTCTTTGCGCTCCTCCTCCCTAATTGGTCTTGTTAGCCCGCGCTCGGCGCTGCAGCCGATATATATGCACCATCACCGGTGCAACTTTTTGTTCATCTCCTTGCACACAAGTAAGTAAACTCTCGACGCCGGGGATAATTACTCCAAAGTGCGTATAATATACACGCGCGTATGGGTATCATACATGTATACTGATGCGACCATTATTATTCCCTCTCGGTTTAATAGAATTCGTTCCGAGCGCCCCCGTTGCTCCTTTCTTTACCTTTCCAGTTCTCGCGTCGGAGCCGCACGATATCTCTTAGACTCGCGCGATCGGGCAATATACAGGGGGGGGAGAAGCTATACATGTGATATCTTTCACAGAAACACTTTTGCTCTTACCTTGGCCTCGAGCCTGTCGTTGTCGTGCTTCAGGTGGTTGCGCTCCTGCTCCAGCCGGTCGACTTTGGCTCGCAGGATCTCCAGCTCCTCCTGGAAAAAAACAAACAGTTATCATTGTCATTGTCATTAGTATGGTATTTTTCGGGTGGTTTTCCATTGGCTTTTTCTCTTCATCGGCATACTTTTTGCGTTTCTCATCGTCTCCGATACTCGTGGTACGGATTACCCCGTGAAAACGGCTCTGCTATATGTAATATACAGTATACCGATACTCCGCTAATGAAAATTCCTCGTTCGGAGATTAATAAGAGGAGCGCGAGACGAAAAACAAGCATCAGCCTACTAACCAGATTTCAAGCCAACCGGGGCAGTTTCATTACCATATCTGTGTATTATACATACGCGTATACGCATACAGGCCTGTCAAGTATAATATAGCGAGAGAGTATTATACACGTAGACGGCGAGACGAGCCGATGCATGTGCTCCTATTATTACGGCGTTAATAAGCTTTTCTTAGGTGGAAGAACATCAGACGACGATGACGATTATTCGATCTCGCGGAGGCGCCTGGGCGGAGTTGTTTTTTTTTTCTCCCCTTGTGTGTCAGTACGCCAGTGTGACTGTATCATATACGTGATACAATAACCACTGGTGCTATTACCGCGGCGCTCGTTAATTATCTCCCGGCTTGTCATTACCTATGGGCCATTGAGAGCAGTGCTCGTCGAAGGCAGCTCTTTTTACGACGGATTCTGTGGGTGGTAGTGTTGTTTTTTTTTTTTTTTTTCCGTAAACTCGTCGTTTCTTACGGGATTCATCGATAATGTTCGATAGTCAATCAGCAGTATTTTTTGTATAGTATACATGGGTAAAGGTGAGCGTATCGTGTGTTTGGCCATTGCCTATCTGATATTTCAAAACTAAACATCGGTACACCGGCCAATAAAAATCGCGATAAGCCAGACGATATTTTTAACGTAGCGCTGGAAAATAAGGTCAGCCGGCCAGACGCAATGTAAATCAAAGCGGTGACAAAACATCCCAGTGTATAAACACCCTTGACAGAGTTCATTCGATTCTCGATCCGAAAACCATGCGTAATACTCAATTATCATCCACGATGGGGCTATTTCGGAACCGCAGGTTGTTTGTTTTTTCCCATTACAAAAGACAAACATCAACTGAGAAAGTCGCGAAAATCCATAGCTATGGCAGGTATAACATCGCGATGATAATTACAAAACTACACACACACACGGTGTACGGTGCAGGGGACGAAATTGAACATGGGCCAAAACACCTGCTGTACAGCGACACGGAAGCTAATCAATCGCGCGGAGCTATAGTTTTGGCTCTCGAGGCACAACGAGCTGCGGCATCGTCACGAGTGGTCGGCACTGCGTCGACACAGCCGGACAATCCGACGTCTTTTTGACGCTGGAGCCCACCACCGTGAAGGTACACACCGGCCCGCCATCGTGCAATTATAATCGGAGCTATTTTCGCCTTTGATCGCGCGAATCGTATTTTCGCACGGGCGCGCGGCTTCGTTAAGATGCAGAATGTACGTGCGCCTTCTGGCTATGTGAGCTTGAAATGTAAAAGGGTTAAAATGAAACGTTGAGAGATCCAATTTTCAGCGAGTAAACACAAAGTCCGCGGGTAGAAAATCATGTACGTATAGGAATGGACGGACGAGCAACTGAGCAGCTAGCAGAGCTAGAGAAAATTGAATTCAGGGAAGACGATAAATTAGCCATAGGCCACGAGACTCTATGTTCACTGCTGCCGGTGCAACGGTACATGTTATATGCTCACGTTCCGCCTATTCCGTATTTTTAGTGTTTCCTCTTTGCTTTGAGCGCGCATGTATATGTGTATGTATTCGTACGGTAAATGCGTAAGGAAAGACCGAAAAAATATTTATAAAAAAAACCCCAAAGTGAGCAGCCAAGATCATCCAAATGCTGTACGTTTACAAGTGTACGAGCGATGATTATAGAGTTTCAAGGGACGTATTTTTAATACACATAAAACTCTATACTCTTAAAGCTTGGGATATTTTCGACGGTGTTCTGATTTGCGTGATGGTTGACGCGTAAACGCGAACAAGAATCAAAGATCTCTTTTCGGCGAAGACGCTGCACACGGATCCAGGACGGGATTAACAACGGGGGAGGGGGGGAGGAGGCGGTTTTATATTTAGCGGCAAATGGGTATATTAATACGCCAGCGTGGCTCCGTCGCGGTCGCGTTTGCAGGTTTTACGAGCGATTTCGATTGTTCGGACTTGACGTATCGGCGAGGGGATGAATAGTCGCGATCAAAGCCAACGAGACGCGAAAGTTCGCTCCGGGACGGGCCTAGAATAGAAACCAGAATGACGACAAAAGGAACAACCTCTTGTTTCCCGTTGTCTTACTTCAAAGTTCACCCCCACTGCACAAATTAATGAAGCACCCATTACCACGTACACGGAAAAAAAAAAAAAAAAAATCCGAGGAAAGGTGAGGCCTTTCACTGTCGATGGATATAAGAGCCGAAATGAGCAAAAGCGCAATTGAAACGTGATGAGTCGCACAGTCACCCGAAAAAGAGAGAGTAAAAACGCGGATATGGTGAATGAAAGCACTCTTACCGTTCTCGCCTTGAGTTGGTCCTCTGTTCGGTGGACGTTCAGGAGGGGCGCCACTTTCACGTACAGCCTCCACCAGGGCCACTCGCGCACCGACATGAGCTTCCGCACGTTCCTCTGTATACATCTGACCGCCAGGTCTTGCAGCTGGAAAAATCAAAGCGGGTTGTTATCGTTTCGGGAACACGATTTGCGTGAAAATCGCCGCGAACAAAGATTCATTGAGGGTACACGGATAGTACCGAGAAACAATTAATGAGTCGCTAAATAAAAAGCTTGATTGTATTGGAGAAAAAAAAAAAAAAAAAAACAATAATTGAAATAAAAAGAGGACGACAAATGAGGCATGTACCTTGAGCTTGTTGAGTTTTTGACGAGCAAGGTAGCCCCGGCATCTCGCCTGCAGCAGAATTATGTGTCCCGTGAGCTTCTCGTCTCTCTGGGACTCGAGCCGCTCGAGGGCGCCGGCTCGGAAAAATATCTGTCCGGACGCACCATGAAAAGCGAAAAATACGGAAATATAAAATATTGGCATTAATATACGAGTACCAGTACATTGTAATTGCAAACGGATATTTCTATATTGTTACTCTGATCTGTACTGCTGAGGTGTCGCTTGAGTATATTATATTATACCTGCGAAGCACACACTATAAGGTATACTTAACTTACAAAGGGTTTAACTTGCAGATTGGAATCGGAAAAATAGTTTTATTAAAAGATTCCGTATTCGCTTTAAAGGATACAATTACTACGGTATCGTATACGGAAGGAGGAACAATCGCCAAGCGCATCTAACAAGTTTTTCCACTTTTCGTGTGCGGCTTGTTCGGCTAATCGGACAATGGCGACCTAACAAAACGCGTAAAATGAGGCCAAGCACCGACGAGCCAGAAAAAAAACTACAGGAAACACACCGGCAGCAATCATCACCTAATGGCACGGCGGTGGGGGGGAGAAAAAAAAAAAGACCGACATCAATATCAAATTACACTCTCCAAATGAGATACTTACTCGAGCACGCATGGAGCTTAATCTTCCGAGGCGCGAGACCGTTATACACCTAATGACGATCTTCATATTCATGTATACGTGTTAATATCCGCGGGATGAGCTCGAAGAAGGATGTTACACGCGTACAATTGTCGCACGGGATTACGGTCAAATAGGGTTTTATTTTATTCGTCTCACAATCGAGTATCATCCAAGGGATCTTGCATGAACCCAATGCGCTGCAATCGATGGTTTTTAACTATACATGGTATCACGAGATGAGGGGCCTCGAAGGAAAAAAAAAAAAAAAAATCAAATCTAGCAGAGAAAGACTCATGCAGAGAGAAAGAGCATCAAGGCCAACGGTTTTCATTATCAAGCTCATTATCGCTTTTACCGCAAAGGTGTACATAGAAAGTCGCGCGCTCGCGGCCCGTGAGAGAAGTAGGCTCGATTGATCAAGATCCCAAGGCGCGCGTCTCTGTGCGTATGTAAGTATACACCCGTTCAGACCATGTATACAATTTATTATCTACTCCTCGTTTCACACCATCACCCCTGCGCGTGGATTTTCGCGTTTTGTTTCTTTTTATTTATTTACTTTGCTTTGTATATAGGCTTCGGTGCGCACTTACACATACTCATGACCCACTAAAAGAGAAAAATGAATATTCAATTGCAAAATGGTAATGGTACAAGTAACAAACACAACTGAGGAAACGAGAAATAACACATAGCGTGTAACGCGTACGGCGGGGTTCTGTGAGGGGCCATTGTCGCGCTTTTCACAGCTACGCGATCTTTTTACCTCTCCCGGCGAGTCGTTCTCTCTCGTGAATATTCATGAAAACCCGGGGTCTTGACTCGCACGCACGGCTTTTTTCTGCTCATACAACAATAATATACTTATACGGAAAGTGCGTGCAACGCCGAATCGGCAATAATGTCAACTGTTTTATTTGGCGAGGGTTACATCGTCGTCGTGGTGCTAATGGGTTACGTTTCTGTCGTCCGTACATACATATATTGGGCGAAAATCAAATTTGTACTTTCATATACAAAGATTCTTTCTAATTCATTGAATGGCACCTCCACAAATCTAATTTTTTTTTAAATGGCCAAAAATCGCTAAACGATCAATGGTAATTTTCAAAGGGATTTGGTTAAAAAAAAAAGGGAGGGATTGCAAATCAAAAGAGGAAAGTCGGAAGGGCATTGTTCCGTTGAGGTGCTTTGTTTGTAACGAAACCAGCCAGGACCATTGAGTCTACGAAACAACGCAACATCACAATGTATACCTGAGCGTTAACGCTCTGTCGCTGAAGGGGCACGGGCCTGTCGGCGCTTCTCTTGGCAGCTGCCTTGGACTTGACGGCCTCGTCCCAGCTGTCGATGCTGCTGGCGCCGCTGGAACTCGACACGCGGACCATCTTAGCCACGACCACCTGCCCGTCAGCCGGCGGCTTCGGCACTATACCGAAGCGCCCGACGACCGAGGTCGCATCAAATGCCCCAACGGCCCGCTCGATGCTCGAGTCCAGCTCCTGGACGACCTCCCGCAGAAAGACCTCGCCCTCTACCACCCCCTCCCCGTAGCCCTTAATCTCCAGTGGCGTCTCGTCCGACTCGTTCTCGTTGCTTATGTGGCCGCTGTCCTCCGACGAGTTGCCATCCGAGGCGTAGCCGCAGCTGGGCTTCTTGGCCGCCTCCTTGGCCGGAGGCTCCTTGTTCTTGCAGTTGAAAAAATTGACGAGCTGCTCTATCTCCTTGGCCTTCTTGACCGGACCACTCCCTCCGACAGCCTGGACCGCGTCGTCCCGGCACGGCTCGCTCACGTTGGCGCTCGACTTGGACGCGAGGCGCTTCCTGGCCAGCTTGCACGCCTCGTCGTTGCCCGCCGACCTCTCGATCTGGCGCTCCCAGTTCCTCCGTATCTCCTGTATGCTCGTCTGCTCGGGGCACCTGGTGGTGGCCGAGCGGCCGAGCAGGGTGTGCAAGCTCCCCTGGCTCTTGGTGAGGACGCGGCTCCTCTCGAGGGTCTCCTGGCTCTTGGTAAGGTTGTCCTTGCTCCGGGCGAGCTCCTCGCGGCTGCGCATCAAGTTCTCCCGGCTCCTCGACAGTATGTCCCGGCTGCGCTCGATGTTCAGCCGACACGCGAGCAGGTCGATCTTCCTGCCGCTCTGCTGGTTCGCCGTAGTCGGTGGCGCGGTTTTGGGGATCGGAGGTGGGGGGTCGTCCTCGTCGAGCTGGGAGAGCAGCTCTTCGGCCCGTTTCTCCAGCTCGAGGGTCGTCAGGGGTACGGGCCGTGGGACCGGCTTGCCCAGGCTGTCGTAGACGGGGCTGGCCTCGCGACAGTTTTCGTAAATGTGCTCCTCGTCGACGGAGCGGTCGACCTCGTCGACGGTGGCTCGACTGGCGGGCTTGGGCCTCTCAACGGGCGGATCTACCGTGCATAGATCGCCGAGAGACTGGCCGAGCCCGGCCAAGTGCTGGGTCGACAGGGGTATCCTGCTCGGGAGTTTGCCGAGGGCCCGACACTGCCCCGAGTCCGCGGGCACGCTCCACAGACTCGTCGCTCGATTCAACCCGCCGCACCTCGGGCTGCGGCTCTTTTGCCTTTGCTGCTGTTGGCTACTCGGCAGTACCGGCGCCACGGTGGCCTTGGAGGTTCTCGGCGACTGCACGCTCCACAGGCTCGTCGACCGGTTGAGACTCTTTTTGCGCTGCTGCTGCTCGAGCGGCTCGACGGGCTTTTTCGGCGTCAGGCCCTTCTTGAGGAGTGCCCGGTCCTCCAGAATGGTGCACGAGGCCTCCTTGCCCGGCTTTTTCCTCGCCTCGGGCTTCGACGCCGGGCTCTTGGGCTGTTTCGGCGAGTTGCTGGCCAGCCGAGCCGGCTCTCCTGGCGTTATCTGGACGATCGTCACGTTACCGGTCCTCCCGGGCTTGGGGGCGGCGGTGGTCTGCTGGGCCCTCTGGGAGGATTGGCGCTTGCCCCCCGGTGGAGTGGCCGTGGGGGGCGCTCTGGAGACATTGGGGCTGCTCTTGGCCTTGGAGAGCCGGGGGGCCGCGGTGCCGGTGTTCCAGGGCTGGAGCTTCGGTGGAGGCCCCGCGGGACTCTTGACCGCGATCTTGGACATGTCTCGGGGGCTTCGGTGTACGTATGGGTCGGTAAAGCACCTATCCGGTCAGCGCCTGGCGCGCGTCAAGCCTCACGAGGAAGCTCGGAAGCTCTCGTGGAGGCCGCGTTCGGCGGACGCTCTCATCGATGCGGAGGCGCACTCGAAAACGCAGCCGAGCGAGAGGGGGACGCGCGCTCCTCTCTTGCTCCCCCTTTCTAGGTTTGATTGACGGATTTTATCCCTTTAATTGGATTACGGGTACTTGGCCCGAGCTCAACTCTGTGTACTCGTGGTGGTGGTAGCCGCGTTCCCGCGTATACCGGTTAGCCGCTTATGGTCACGCTCTCGCGGAGGAGTAGTCCGGCTGTACCTGCCTTTCTAGGCTACAAAAAGAAGAAGAAGCCTTGGAAGAAGCGCGACTTACGGATCGACTCTGTCTTTCTTAATTTCTTTCTTTCTTTTTCTTTTTTTTTTTTTTTTCTTAACTTCCCCCTTCCTCGCTTCCTGTCTTGCACAGACACACGCACCAACACACGGGCACAAGCACAGACACTGCGCGATTAAAAATTAAGTATAGATACGGACACTGCGTTGACGTTTCCCGATAAGATAACGTCAAGCCAGCGTCGCTGTCTTTCGATTGCGGCCGATGTGTATCGTCTTTTGGAATTTTTTTTTTTTTTTTTTTTTTTTCCTTGTTTTTTAGGCCCTTTTCTTCCGCAATCGATGCACTGCTGTCCCTAGGCGTGCTGGTCCATTTTCGAGACAATCGAAATTTCTTGAAAACTGGGAAAAAAAGGGTGGACCAAAAGAAGAAATGGTCAATAGTTACACCCACGCGATGATCTTGTATACTTGTACAGCAGGCTGTGGTTGAGCGGCAAAAAACAGGGTGACGATCGGCAGTGGCCTCAAAATGCAATTTTTTGGTACTGTTTTGACGAAACCACAAGTCATTGGGTCGTACGAGCGAGCGTTTGATGGGTCTTCTTTTTGAGAAGTGAGAAAAAAAGAGAGAGGAAGCCGGTATAGGCACGGATCCAGAGTACGAACTGAGGAGCGCGCGAGCGTCGCGGATTATCGAGCACAGAGTCTACTCTACCGACTGGCTGGTGCTTTCTCTCTTGGCGTACGCTCGAGCGTCAGGTGCGAGCGGGGCCCCTCTTTCGCGCTCCTTCCCCTTTGGTTGTCTGTCTGGTCTGTCTGTCTGTCCCTGTGTGTGTGTGTGTGTGTGTGTGTGGATATACGCACTCGGGAGGCCCCACTTTGAGGCTCCTTTCGATGCTGCTGTTGTTGTCGTTGTTGGTGGGGCATCGCCAAGAAGGAGGAGGAGGCAAAGATCGGGGTCTCTTTCTCTCTTCCCGAGCGC